GAGTCAGGTTCTATTTTTATGTTGACATTGTATAATACCTTATATGGAGTGATTGTGCAACAACCGGCAAATTTCCACTGACTTATTAAGGAGTCTAAGATATAGAAATTTTCCATTAAGATCTGATTGAATGATTCTAATCAGATGACTATCCCAACCAATGGCTACATGAGTTGAGGATAATCTCCCCTGTTGCAGAAGTCTTTAATTGCCCCGCACACTCGCAACACGAGGCAGTCTACAGGGCGATTTTACCTTGGTCAGGCAGTCGTCCATATTTTCCGGCTATAGACACTGACCATTTGAACGTGAGAGAACTTAAGTCCTGTGTGTGCCTTGCTTTCTTAAGTTGATTTAGGCTTCTAGTATAATATTACTCGTCGCTGAGTTATTTTAGAAGCTATAGCAGTGTTGTGTGGCCTGTAGTTATTTAGACAGTGTAGAAATCTGTGATAGTGTTTTTCCTACATTTTGTAAGTTGTGTTTTGATATTTTATACATTAAATATTTTAACTAGTTCAACCTTGTGTTTTGCCACAACTGTGTTCGCTGATTAAAGTTGTATGTAGATTGGATGAGTGTTAATTACAATAGTATCACTAGTTTACCCTAGACATTGAATTCGAGCCCTAGTGTGCCGTTGTGTTAGTGTTCATCCACTTAGGCCGTAAGGCATTTGCATATGACCCCGAAAAAAGAATCCGGGGACGTTCACCGTCTATTTGGCTGATAGATAGGGGACGTTACACTAGTCCGACGTTAAAGTAAGTAAACACAGATTTGGATGCACGTTTTCTACTGCAGCTCATGCAGTGTTTTCATGCGTGCATCTCCTCGTCCCCCTTGAAATCGGGAATAACAAGCGGAAAACCAGCATCCAAAAGCCACTGATAGTTTTTAAAGGTGAATCTTATTGATGTGACAAAACGCAAAAACTACAAAATCACTGACACGTGTTATTCGCTAGTCATGCGTTTCCGTAGTGTAGTGGCTATCACATCCGCCTAACACGCGGAAGGTCCTGGGTTCAAGCCTCAGCGGAAACATTTTTTGTTGTTGCTTGGTTTATTTTTCTTTACTGGGAAGCACTTTAAGAAAACCAAACTGTTGGACTCTACCCAGTCTAAGCTTCAGGTGCCACTCACTAACGCATCAGCACTCGTGCCTTATACCTTTCAAAGAAATTCACACACGACAGGCAAGCAGGTAGGGGCGACATTGGTTTCTTTCATTGGAAACAAAGCATGATCCGCTTTTGTTTGAAGACAAAAATCATCCTAAATCGACAGCTCAAATGCAATGCCCATCCTGACTATGCTACGTGAAACGCTGTGCGACAATGAGCGTGTTTTCCTTGAAGCTGCACATCTTTCTAGTGCCATCTTACGTGTTTGCGTCTCTGGAAAGAATCAGCAGCCCGGTAAGACCGCGGTCGTGCCAACATGCTCATTTCACCGGCAAAATAAAAACTCTGGCCACGTGATGGTCACGCAAATAAAATGATAAAAAAGCAAGAAAAAAAGAAGTGCCTCCCCGGCGGGGAATCGAACCCCGGTCTCCCGCGTGACAGGCGGGGATACTTACCACTATACTACCGAGGACACATGATTCGATGACAGACAGCACGACTCAGCCTAGTCCGACGTTAAAGTAAGTAAACACAGATTTGGATGCACGTTTTCTACTGCAGCTCATGCAGTGTTTTCATGCGTGCATCTCCTCGTCCCCCTTCAAATCGGGAATAACAAGCGGAAAACCAGCATCCAAAAGCCACTGATAGTTTTTAAAGGTGAATCTTATTGATGTGACAAAACGCAAAAACTACAAAATCACTGACACGTGTTATTCGCTAGTCATGCGTTTCCGTAGTGTAGTGGCTATCACATCCGCCTAACACGCGGAAGGTCCTGGGTTCAAGCCCCAGCGGAAACATTTTTTGTTGTTGCTTGGTTTATTTTTCTTTACTGGTAAGCACTTTAAGAAAACCAAACTGTCGGACTCTACCCAGTCTAAGCTTCAGGTGCCACTCACTAACGCATCAGCACTCGTGCCTTATACCTTTCAAAGAAATTCACACACGACAGGCAAGCAGGTAGGGGCGACATTGGTTTCTTTCATTGGAAACAAAGCATGATCCGCTTTTGTTTGAAGACAAAAATCATCCTAAATCGACAGCTCAAATGCAATGCCCATCCTGACTATGCTACGTGAAACGCTGTGCGACAATGAGCGTGTTTTCCTTGAAGCTGCACATCTTTCTAGTGCCATCTTACGTGTTTGCGTCTCTGGAAAGAATCAGCAGCCCGGTAAGACCGCGGTCGTGCCAACATGCTCATTTCACCGGCAAAATAAAAACTCTGGCCACGTGATGGTCACGCAAATAAAATGATAAAAAAGCAAGAAAAAAAGAAGTGCCTCCCCGGCGGGGAATCGAACCCCGGTCTCCCGCGTGACAGGCGGGGATACTTACCACTATACTACCGAGGACACATGATTCGATGACAGACAGCACGACTCAGCCTAGTCCGACGTTAAAGTAAGTAAACACAGATTTGGATGCACGTTTTCTACTGCAGCTCATGCAGTGTTTTCATGCGTGCATCTCCTCGTCCCCCTTCAAATCGGGAATAACAAGCGGAAAACCAGCATCCAAAAGCCACTGATAGTTTTTAAAGGTGAATCTTATTGATGTGACAAAACGCAAAAACTACAAAATCACTGACACGTGTTATTCGCTAGTCATGCGTTTCCGTAGTGTAGTGGCTATCACATCCGCCTAACACGCGGAAGGTCCTGGGTTCAAGCCCCAGCGGAAACATTTTTTGTTGTTGCTTGGTTTATTTTTCTTTACTGGTAAGCACTTTAAGAAAACCAAACTGTCGGACTCTACCCAGTCTAAGCTTCAGGTGCCACTCACTAACGCATCAGCACTCGTGCCTTATACCTTTCAAAGAAATTCACACACGACAGGCAAGCAGGTAGGGGCGACATTGGTTTCTTTCATTGGAAACAAAGCATGATCCGCTTTTGTTTGAAGACAAAAATCATCCTAAATCGACAGCTCAAATGCAATGTCCATCCTGACTATGCTACGTGAAACGCTGTGCGACAATGAGCGTGTTTTCCTTGAAGCTGCACATCTTTCTAGTGCCATCTTACGTGTTTGCGTCTCTGGAAAGAATCAGCAGCCCGGTAAGACCGCGGTCATGCCAACATGCTCATTTCACCGGCAAAATAAAAACTCTGGCCACGTGATGGTCACGCAAATAAAATGATAAAAAAGCAAGAAAAAAAGAAGTGCCTCCCCGGCGGGGAATCGAACCCCTGTCTCCCGCGTGACAGGCGGGGATACTTACCACTATACTACCGAGGACACATGATTCGATGACAGACAGCACGAGTCAGCCTAGTCCGACGTTAAAGTAAGTAAACACAGATTTGGATGCACGTTTTCTACTGCAGCTCATGCAGTGTTTTCATGCGTGCATCTCCTCGTCCCCCTTGAAATCGGGAATAACAAGCGGAAAACCAGCATCCAAAAGCCACTGATAGTTTTTAAAGGTGAATCTTATTGATGTGACAAAACGCAAAAACTACAAAATCACTGACACGTGTTATTCGCTAGTCATGCGTTTCCGTAGTGTAGTGGCTATCACATCCGCCTAACACGCGGAAGGTCCTGGGTTCAAGCCCCAGCGGAAACATTTTTTGTTGTTGCTTGGTTTATTTTTCTTTACTGGGAAGCACTTTAAGAAAACCAAACTGTTGGACTCTACCCAGTCTAAGCTTCAGGTGCCACTCACTAACGCATCAGCACTCGTGCCTTATACCTTTCAAAGAAATTCACACACGACAGGCAAGCAGGTAGGGGCGACATTGGTTTCTTTCATTGGAAACAAAGCATGATCCGCTTTTGTTTGAAGACAAAAATCATCCTAAATCGACAGCTCAAATGCAATGCCCATCCTGACTATGCTACGTGAAACGCTGTGCGACAATGAGCGTGTTTTCCTTGAAGCTGCACATCTTTCTAGTGCCATCTTACGTGTTTGCGTCTCTGGAAAGAATCAGCAGCCCGGTAAGACCGCGGTCGTGCCAACATGCTCATTTCACCGGCAAAATAAAAACTCTGGCCACGTGATGGTCACGCAAATAAAATGATAAAAAAGCAAGAAAAAAAGAAGTGCCTCCCCGGCGGGGAATCGAACCCCGGTCTCCCGCGTGACAGGCGGGGATACTTACCACTATACTACCGAGGACACATGATTCGATGACAGACAGCACGACTCAGCCTAGTCCGACGTTAAAGTAAGTAAACACAGATTTGGATGCACGTTTTCTACTGCAGCTCATGCAGTGTTTTCATGCGTGCATCTCCTCGTCCCCCTTCAAATCGGGAATAACAAGCGGAAAACCAGCATCCAAAAGCCACTGATAGTTTTTAAAGGTGAATCTTATTGATGTGACAAAACGCAAAAACTACAAAATCACTGACACGTGTTATTCGCTAGTCATGCGTTTCCGTAGTGTAGTGGCTATCACATCCGCCTAACACGCGGAAGGTCCTGGGTTCAAGCCCCAGCGGAAACATTTTTTGTTGTTGCTTGGTTTATTTTTCTTTACTGGGAAGCACTTTAAGAAAACCAAACTGTCGGACTCTACCCAGTCTAAGCTTCAGGTGCCACTCACTAACGCATCAGCACTCGTGCCTTATACCTTTCAAAGAAATTCACACACGACAGGCAAGCAGGTAGGGGCGACATTGGTTTCTTTCATTGGAAACAAAGCATGATCCGCTTTTGTTTGAAGACAAAAATCATCCTAAATCGACAGCTCAAAATGCAATGCCCATCCTGAATATGTGGAAAGGTGGTCGTGTGTTTCTATAGTGTAAAGGTTAATACATCTCTGAATCTCTGTAACCCGCATTTTTTTTATCTTAATGTTAGTTAATCTAAGTAACTACAAACAAGTAATTTTTTTATATATAATAGCGACTTTATTCAGTTTATGTGATCATTATATTAAAATGCTGATTATTATTAATTTTAAAATGTTCTTTTAAAAAATCATTAAATGAAATGGAATAATTTTCTATTCAAATACAATAAATGACCCAGAGTATTAAATTTGGCAATCAACTTGTTAAACATTTTTTAACAATAGTGCTTTCTGATTAGAAACCCAGCTGTAGGTTGTATAAAGTTTCTTTGAGTATATTGTTCCTATAAGCCCCCACATTTACATTATATTGTCCTTTTAATCCTCCACATCACCTGTTTAAACTGTTATAATATTAAAATACCAGACCACATATAACATGTTTCAAATCAACAAATAACAAATATCATTTATTATCACAGGAAGTAACTATCAAATTCTAATTACCAAGGGAGGTCATCAATGTCTACATTACCCCCACATAAAATGACACCAATATTACGTAAACTACTGTCCATTCTTCTCATTTTATCAGAGAATGCTGCTCCAACTGCTGCACCTGACGCTGCCTCAATCACAAGCTGTAGATAAAAGCACTGGTTGGTTACCTGCGCAGGTGCTAAGTGATGTTACATTTAAAGATAATTTTGCTGTACACTTCCTGAAATGAAGTAGTCCTACACTTGTTTTTAAATATGTTCTTAATAATCTTACTAAAAGCAGTATAGCTTTATGCAATTTACTCATCACAGATTAAAAAGCTAATGCTAATTGTTGATCACAGATTAAGGAGATAATGCTAATTGTTGATCACAGATTAAAGAGCTAATGCTAATTGTTAGTCTTTAAATTTTCATTTTCAACTTGCAAGTTTCTGTTTTAATATGACTAAGTTTACTACCACAGCTTACCTTCATTCTTTCAAAACTAAATTTCATTCCCTGAACCATCTCTTCGTCACTCTGAAAAAAAAAAATTGTTTTTTTTTTTATGTATTTGAAACCATTAATTTACAAATGTAAATGCAGCAAAATGTCCATGTTTATAATCTTTATAAATAATTTTCAGGAATAAATTATACAACAAAATACCCATTCATCCCCGTGTCGTTACTAAATATGCAGAGCACATATCTGCTTCCCTAATTTCATTCATTCATCTTTCATCTCATCATTAAATTCAAATTTACTCCACAAATGAATTCAAGCAAACAGCCAGAGGCACCTAAATATAGTGCTAATTTTAAATATTCTTCAAAAAATTATCTTAGAATAATATTTACCATTTCAAAAACATCCTTTTCAGCTAAGTCAATTAAAATGGGCGTTGTTATCTGTCCAGTCTGTTGTAGTCTTATACCATCTGCGATGGTGTCAAGATATTTTGGTGGTCCTTCCCATGGACGTTTACCTAATAAATGATACTTATACTTAAGTCAGCCATAATAACTAATACTTTGTGAACTTAACACATCTGTGAGAGAACAGTGTTTCTTCCAGACTTTTTTCTCAGGGGGGGCACTTGAAATTTTCGGGGGGGCGGTAGACTTTCTTCGGGGGGGCGGACACTGTTAAAAGTATATTTTTTCTATATAAATTATATAAATTCCATTTCGTTCGGGAAGCGGTAAAAAATTTTCGGGGGGGGGGGCGAACATTAAAGGTAAATAATTCTAAACTAGAATGTAATTTAACTCAATTGTCAAAAAAAAAAATTATGAATGAATAAAATTTTTGAACATTCTGGATGGAGTCAGTGACAATTACCAGAGCTAAGTTCAGACAAGTTTAAGTAAAGTAAATAATTGTCCTAAGACCTAGCGATCCATTGGGCAGATGAAGCTGAGTTCATGTGTTTCTTCACCTCAGTTTATGAAGGGAAGGTGTGGTCAGCACTTTGCTCAGTCACCTTTACTTTCCCTAACATGAGTTAGGTACAAATCACGCTCTACAGCTTAGGCCATGCTGTCCCAATTAAGACAAGCTTGGACCAGTTAAAAAAAAATTTTATTATCAAACATTACCTGTAAAAACTTTGTAACCAACATATATTTACCTGATCTTAAGCATTCTTCAAGCTTTTTGCCTTTGGGAGTCACCAAAAATACTAGAGAGAAAAATTTATATTTTTAAGTAGCATGTAGATATATATATATATATATATAAAAAAATATTGAATTTTGATCCTCTATATATCTATAGAGAAAAACAGAATAATACTAGCAATGTGGAACTTGTTCTCAACCCTATCCAAAGGATCAGCTAACACATTTAGTGTTTCAACACAAAAAAATGGACAAGAGTCAACAAACTATCTTTTAAGTGAACTAGAAGCACTTATAAATACAATATATAACTTTAAATTCCAATATTTCAAAGGCAAGGCGCAACATTGAAAAACATTTACTTACATACATTTTTTAACACTACAATCATCTAATCAATTTTTTTCAATACAATAATATTTTTCTTACTTTTGATATCAGGCTTGATTGCTTTAGCTGCTATGGCGATCCCTGAAGACATTCCTCCACCACTAATTGGAACAAGGATTGCATCCAAATTGGGAACTTGTTCAAGGAACTCTACAGCAATAGTTCCCTTTTGTCAAATAATGTTAAAATTAATTTAATAATTTTATAGAATGTGTTTTTTGTCAATTTTTTATTATTAAATAATTAATAAAATACTGAAAATATTTAGTGAAACATTTAAATAGTATATTTCACTAAAATGATAATATTACTGTGCAGTGTTAACATGGAATAACTCTGCAAAATATGTATTCCCAGAAATAGTAAAAGGCTAAAGATTTTCATACATAGCAGACCAATGATGGATGAAGTAGAGTTCATCTACCCTTGAGACCATCACTTAGACCAACTTAAGTGATTTACACTTCAGACCCTGGGGCACAAACTGGAACCGAGGGACTCTACCATAGGCTTAGCACTAAATGTGGGCATGCAGTTGCTCTATGTAATACGTGCTTTGATAATTAGAACATCAGTTACCTGTCCAGCAATGACATCAACATGATCGTAAGGTGGTATAAACTCAGCCTTTTTTTCTTCTTGAATTTTTTCACATGTGTTGTACCTATATGAGAATTATTTTACTAATAAATTATTTTTTTCATAACATACAATTAATTTTTTCAAACTAATTTGAATAGTAATAGTAAGGAAACATCCATTGGCTTGAATGTTGATTTTAAAATGTCCAACTTTATACACTTTTCTGTACAACAAATGAACATTTTCCTTCATTTGTGGTAGGTTCGGGTTAGAATTTTAGGCTTATTGCTAATTAGGCTCAATGAGACATTGTGGAGAAGATGAAGACAACTGTCTAGATTTCAGTCAGCATATCTGATGGATAAGATTCGGCTTGAATCTAGGGAAGTACAGGTGCCTGGACATAGAACTGACCAGAGAATCCCTTTATATGTCCAAGTAGATATAACAAAAGAACTCTACTGCATCTGCTGTATAGATCATCTTCTGTGAGGGCACTTTAAATTTGTAAGGTTTAGGATTAAATGGACAAAACATAGCCAAACAATTATAGAGAAAACATTTTGCATGGGTCACCTGTCCACTGGCTCAAGGCCACACTCAACAAGACTGGCCCCGTAGCCAACAATAGCATTTTTCTTTACCGCTGGCGCCATCTTGGGAACAACAACATAACACTGTACACCAGCAACCCTCGACGCCCATGCCAATGCTTGCCCATGATTTCCACTACTGTGGGTTACCTGAAAATATTTGAGAACATTCTTGGACATCAGCAACTATTGAGAAGATTCTAGGGAACATCAGAAATATTTAAGAACCATTCTTGTAAACATCTACAATATCACTCTGCACCAATTCATTTTTTTTTTCTTTTGGGATAAATATCTTTTCACAACTTACAATTCAACTATGCCTTCTAAAACATATATGTCAATACAATAGACTGATAATGATTCATGTATAATGTTTATAAAGAAAAAGTAATAAATACTTTTTACAAAATATGGCTGAATCATTTATTTCAATTTAATGGTAACTACGAGTACAAATACTAAACAGTAAAACAGTTTAATAAGTATTTGATGTATTTGTTTCATACATACATACATATTTAGTGAGTAATTCAGTTTAAAAAAAACATACCACAGCATCCAAGGCTGCTTTGGTTTCTTTTACTTTAAAGACCTTAAATGATGATGAAATAAGAAAAGAAAATTTGAATGGGGATAAGTTCAAAGAATAGAGAATTTGGGTCTATTTCATTAATTATAAAAATTGTAATTAAGCAGTATTATCTTCTAGAATAAATTAACAATAGTTATGTACAGTCATTATGCTATTTTTTTAAATAACAGAACAAATCCTGAGTTAAGTATTTTATAAGGCTCACAATAAATTTAAGGCTAATCTAATGTTGAAATAGTGTCAAGAAATACAAAACAAAGTACACTGTGATAGCCATAAACTAGTAGTATAGTAGTAAAGTTTTAAAGTTCTCAATCGCATTCTAAAAGCTTAATTGTTTAACAAATGTCTACTAGGTTTATTCAACAAATTTTGTTGTTGTTGTAGAACTATTATGATTAGGGTAAGATAATGTATTACAGTTAAGTAATTTTCATTTAGAAATGGTGTAAGAAAAAAAGAGTGAGCAAGTGCATATATCAAATAGTTTTTAAAATAGGTCATTAACCTATAGATCTATATAATAATAGATATTGCCCTATAGGGCCTACTGATACTATACTATACGTAATAATTATTATTTATTAGGCAGTAATTAAAAAATTATCTAGGCTAATTAATAGGCCGTTTCTTTGCTTAGATGGCTGGATTGACCTCTGACCCTGAAACGTCACGCGTCGTTTTCTGACGGTTTTTACGTTTATTTTAGGGGTCCTATCCACGACAAATGAAAAACCTGTTAATCTCGCAATTTTTCATCATTATTTTAATGCAAAATGCTAATAAAATGGATAATATGCCTTAGAATGCCAGAAAAAATCGAGATATTAGTTGTTGTAAATAATGAGAGGATTTCTAGTGGAGCGCTCTCCGTAAAAACTGAACCGCCGCTAAAAACGACCGACCTCCGGGGAAAACGGCCCGACAGACTCTAAGTTATTATATAATTGAGATATTTACCTTGTATATTTACATTATTATTGATTCTGGTTTCCAAAATCTTATCCCAAAATGAGGTACCCACGCTGACATTTCTATCCGCTATTTTTAGTATCATGACGTCATTGCTACGCTAGTTGCCAGACTGAAACAACTAGTTTTTGTTTTTTACGGAATGAACTGTTAAGTCTAGTATTTTAATTATAATTCAATTGTAGCATGTGCGGAAAAAGTAAAATTATGGACATTATTATTGTATTAGTAATTTTATTAGTATATTGATTTTTTCTTCACTGTGGGCCGACAGATGCTGCATTCGTGACCGGTGGTTAACCTCGTCAACGCTGCGTGGCCTATTCATTTATATAAATCAGTGATGCTCGTTCAGTGGCCTTTTTCAGAGCTAGGCCTAATTACGGGCGATTTTTAGACTTAATTGAGCCTTTTTCATTGCTGCATATTTTAAAAAATGCTCGTTCAGCGGCCTTTTTTTTTTGGCGCTAAATAATCTGTTTACGGGCATTTTAAGCGTTTATTTATTTATTTTTTTAAGCTAGACGTAGATCTAGTTAAAAAAAAAATAATTTTTATACAGCTGGCTGTCTAGCATGTCTGATATGTGAACTTTAAAAAAAATGACCGAACTTTAAAAAAAAAATGACCAGAAGTAGGGAAGTAGGTCTGTTTTTTAATTTGCTTGAAGGAGGGGGGGGGGGAGGGGGGAGAGAAGTGAAGACACCGACCATCTCGTGTACGCGTGTTCATTCTATGACGTGTACTGAACTCATGGTGAACCCGCAACCGTAGTGGGATTTTTCATCCACAGGATAGTAAACATAAGCAAGCAATCACGCGAGTGACGATGTTTGGAGATTTTTAAAAGAAAAAAAAATAACATACGTCATGTCTTCAAAATGAAAAAAAAAATGTAATGTAAGAAAAAAAAAGACACTAATCTAATAACATGTATGAACCTCAGCTGCCACACTGTTGACTCAATATAATCATCCCCATAATGTGAATTGAGTGTAAAATGTATTTGTATTTATAAACTATCTTAACTATTACTATCATATTATTTTAAGCATATTTATTATTTAAAATTAGAATTTGAAATAAAAATATTTATTATGGCCATTTGATTGTTGCAGGTGTTCATTACTTCATAAAATGGTATGAATAACATGTAGAATAGAATTTAATAAATAATAAAATAACTAGATCTAGTTTTAATTATCAACCAGTAGCTTTTTGTTATTTTCCGGTGAGTAAATAACCTAAGCTGACGCAATTACCATGGCGGGAATTAAAAGCTCGTGGACACAAGTCCACGACGTCATGTTATGCCGGTCGAGGAGTAAGAACGCTGTTTTGTCGTTCATTTTCCATTCTCGGATAATTTTCAAATTCTCTCTTTTCTCGTCAACCGAGTAAGCTAGATATTTAAATGTGGTGTCAAATGTTCTCTTAAGGGGTAAGGAACTTAATGGTGTATTTGAAATAACATAATGTTTTATTTTAAAAAATCCATAATTCATCCTACTAATTAAATTTAACTTAATTGGTATAAAACGATAGATTAACAAAAACTTCAAAAAGTATAAAATTATACATCTAGATGTAGATGTATAGTTTAGTTATCACTGTAAATCAGTTACGGTTGCAATGGGGATACAAACTGAATCTCCTGTAATGTATTAGACATTGGCTACATTTGTTGTAACTGAAAAAGAGGGCGAGTAAAAGTTGTCAATGTAAACAACTATGAACCGGATGTTTATATTTAAAGCAATTCTTAAAATACTCAATTGCAGTTAATTTAGTGAAACAAAAATACTTTTTCTTACGGCATTTATTGCCCCTCTTGCTTTAAACGAACCAGATTTCTGTAAATTTTCAGCTTTAAAAAATATGCGTCTGCCAGTTTTTAAATCCGCCTGTTCTGATGTGAATACAGGAGTTTTATGTATCAAATTACATATCCTATTATGTGCTGATAAAATATCGTTGTACGTAACCCCGCATTCTCCAGCCATGTTGAACTTTGACACAGCTTTCCTGGCTATCTTATCTAAATGTGAAAATGTAAAGAAAGGAATCAGATTTACTTTTCTTCACGTTATAACAAAACAAAAAAAAAATGTATCGGCCTATTTGTTAAACTCACAAGTTAAAAAAACAAAATGTCTTATAATTATTTTGCCATTTATTTAGTCCGTGTTTTCAAAAATTACATTTTATTTTGTTTAAACATAGAATATAGTTGTGACGACCAACTGTCCCAATGTGACCTGTCACACAGTGTCACTTGCACAAAGTTTAGTAGATACAGTTTTTAACAGTAATATAAAATTGACAGTTAATAAAAATGCCGCAGATAAACATTTACTTGTTCATTATTTTCTATGGTGTACGTGATGTATCGGTTATTGATTTTTAACAATTCTAGAAATAATCTAAAGCTTGTGTTTTCTTGCAGGCATCTCTACCCCCCCCCCCCCCCTCTTCAAAATTTTCAAGTCACACCCTCCCCCCCCCCCCCTACACACACACCCCACCCCCTCCCGTAGAAAAATGTCTGATAGGGTTAGCCTGTCGGCCATCTATCCTAGGTCAACCTATCTATCCTGGGTTCGTCCTTCCCACCTCTGTTAGCTATCGTGACATGTGTTGTCTGGAACATTTATGTGTCCTCGGTAGTATAGTGGTAAGTATCCCCGCCTGTCACGCGGGAGACCGGGGTTCGATTCCCCGCCGGGGAGGCACTTTTTTTCTTGCTGTTTATCATTTGCTTACGTGGCCAGAGTTTTTATTTTGCCGGTGAAATGAGCATGTTGGCATGACCGCGGTCTTACCGGGCTGCTGATTCTTTCCAGAGACGCAAAAACGTAAGATGGCACTCGAAAGATGTGCAGCTTCAAGGAAAACACGCTCATTGTCGCACAGCGTTTCACGTAGCATAGTCAGGATGGGCATTGCATTTGACGAAAAGAACAGCTTTTATTTCTATAACAGCTTTTATTACTAGAACAGCGTTTATTACTAGAACAGCTTTTATTTCTAGAACAGCTTTTATTTTTAGAACAGCTTTTTTATTCTAGAACAGCTTTTATTTCTAGAACAGCTTTTATTTCTTTAACAGCTCTTATTTATAGAACAGCTTTTATTACTAGAACAGCTTTCAGAGTTTCTTCCAGGCACCCCGTAGAAAGTCTACCCACTCCCCCCCCCCCCCCCCCCCTTCCCGAACGAAATGGAATATATATAGAAAATATATACTTTTAACATTGTCCGCTCTCCTTCTCCTCCCCCCCCCCCCCTCCGAGACCTTTGGGCTTGCAGTCGAGCATCTGACCAAGCAGACCTTACATCCCACTGATTGGGTCATTAAACTTGAATCTAATTGCCGAAAAATTGAAATGGAATCGCGGACAAAAGTGTTCTATTTGTATTAATGAAACAAAGCATTAATAACATTTTATCCCAATCCGCCGCTACCTGTAGCTACTAAATTATTTTTCCATCAATAGTTTATTAAAACAACTTCCATAAAAATAATAAAATTTTATCCGGCACTTAGTTAAAGTGATCAGGGAAATGCTTTCATATTAGCTTTTTAAAGGCAAGTGCGTTTCTAATGCATTCCACGAGAAGTGTATATTTCTAATGTCCTGTAAGCTTTTGATTTTTTGTCGGTTAAATTGGCTGTGATTAAAATCATCCAACCATGCAATTTCACCATAGGTGGAAGGGGAAGTGACGTCACAATCGACCAAAGCAGTTATTTTTTTATCTACCTGCCATTCTCAATCTTCCAGTCAACTTATAACCTGTCAGATAAACTGGAACTGTAATCAATTATTGATGACTTGGTCGAAGGCTGGTCAGGGTGGCTTACTTTGGAGTAGTTGAAGCTTTCAAATGAAAGGGTTAGGTTAGTGTTTATTAGGGCCGGTTAGCTGGGTAGAAGTCTAGATGGTGTGTTGGGTGGTGTTGGGTTTGGTAGAAGTCTAGATGGTGTGTTGGGTGGTGTTGGGTTTGGTAGAAGTCTAGATGGTGTGTTGGGTGGGTAGAAGTCTAGATGGTGTGTTGGGTGGTGTTGGGTTTGGTAGAAGTCTAGATGGTGTGTTGGGTGAGTAAAAGTCTAGATGGTGTGTTGGGTGGTGTTGGGTTTGGTAGAAGTCTAGATGGTGTGTTGGGTGGTGTTGGGTTTGGTAGAAGTCTAGATGGTGTGTTGGGTGGGTAGAAGTCTAGATGGTGGGTTGGGTGGTGTTGGGTTTGGTAGAAGTCTAGATGGTGTGTTGGGTGGGTAGAAGTCTAGATGGTGTGTTGGGTGGTGTTGGGTTTGGTAGAAGTCTAGATGGTGTGTTGGGTGGGTAGAAGTCTAGATGGTGTGTTGGGTGGTGTTGGGTTTGGTAGAAGTCTAGATGGTGTGTTGGGTTGGTAGAAGTCTAGATGGTGTGTTGGGTGGTGTTGGGTTTGGTAGAAGTCTAGATGGTGTGTTGGGTGGGTAGAAGTCTAGATGGTGTGTTGGGTGGTGTTGGGTTTGGTAGAAGTCTAGATGGTGTGTTGGGTGAGTAAAAGTCTAGATGGTGTGTTGGGAGGGTAAAAGTCTAGATGGTGTGTTGTGTGGTGTTGGGTTTGGTAGAAGTCTAGATGGTGTGTTGGGTTTGGTAAAAGTCTAGATGGTGCGTTGGGTTTGGTAGAAGTCTAGATGGTGTGTTGGGTTTGGTAAAAGTCTAGATGGTGCGTTGGGTTTGGTAGAAGTCTAGATGGTGAGTTGGGTTTGGTAAAAGTCTAGATGGTGAGTTGGGTTTGGTAAAAGTCTAGATGGTGTGTTGGGTTTGGTAAAAGTCTAGATGGTGTGTTGGTTTGCTAGGTCTAGATGGTGTGTTGGGTTTGGTAAAAGTCTAGATGGTGTGTTGGGTTTGTTAGATCTAGATGGTGTGTTGGGTTTGGTAAAAGTCTAGATGGTGTGTTGGGTTTGGTAAAAGTCTAGATGGTGTGTTGGGTTTGTTAGATCTAGATGGTGTGTTGGGTTTGGTAAAAGTCTAGATGGTGTGTTGGGTTTGGTAAAAGTCTAGATGGTGTGTTGGGTTTGGTAGAAATCTAGATGGTGTGTTGGGTTTGGTAAAAGTCTAGATGGTGTGTTGGGTTTGGTAAAAGTCTAGATGGTGTGTTGGGTTTGGTAGAAGTCTAGATGGTGTGTTGGGTTTGCTAGGTTTAGATGGTGTGTTGGGTTTGCTAGGTCTAGATGGTGTGTTGGGTTTGGTAGAAGTCTAGATGGTGTGTTGGTTTGCTAGGTCTAGATGGTGTGTTGGGTTTGGTAAAAGTCTAGATGTTGTGTTGGGTTTGCTAGGTTTAGATGGTGTGTTGGGTTTAGCAACTAGTCCATGCTGATGTAGACATAGCTGTTCAAGTAATAGAAGCTGTTCTTTTAGTAAAAGCTGTTTTTCTTTAGTAAAAGCTGTTTTTCTGTAGTAAAAGCTGCTATTTTGTAAATGCTGTTCTTTTTGCAAAAGCTATTCTTTTTACTTTCTCGTATATACGAAGTAAAGAGAAAGTCTTGTAATCGTGCGAAAAAAATCGAGTTTTTTGCAAATCTCGACTATTTACACCTCCCTCAGTCGGAAAAACATAGTTTTTGCAATCTTGTTCGTATGTCTGTGTGTGTGTATGTGTGTATGTCTAACTGTGTGTGTAAACACGATAACTTGAGTACCGTTACAGCTAGGTTGATGAAATTTCATATATAAGTATTATATCAAAATCGTAGAACCGTATCAACTTTTGAGCGGTTTCCGGATACCGGAAGTGGAACTTTTTCTACTTTGAATTTTTCAAAAGCCTATAACTTGAGTACTATTTCAGATATATACATGAAATTGTTAGTAAAAGATCTAATTCTCTGCCTTCTATTAAATTTTGAGTAATTTCTGTTAACCGGAAGTAGTAATTTTCGCTATTTCCGATTTCTCAAAAAAAAAAAACGCATGTGAATTTATTAAGTACTAATAATATTCCGCGCTATTATGCACATTTTATTTGTCGTTCACTTGGTGTGCAATTCTTTTTTCCACGAGATTGTATTCTATTTTAAAAAGTGTAAGTATTTAAAATGGATTAAAAATCAGGTCTATATCCCGAGTTGCCATCCCCTGTTGTTTCATATAAGAATATTCGAGAAAGTTTAGGGGAGATCACTCCCGGTTTATTTTTAAAGCTGTTCTTTTATTCAAAGCTGTTCTTTTATTTAAAGCTGTTCTTTTAGTAAAAGATTGGGTTTTTTTTTAGTAAAAGCTGTTTTAGTAAATGCTATTCTGGAAGTAAAAAGTAACTCAAAAAAAATGTTCTGTTTGTAAAAGCTGTTGCGCTTAATTTACAAACTGTTTTACCGGCTCAGATCTGTGCTACAAGATGGGATGCAGAGCCCCATGTATGTTACATAACATGTCATCTAACAAACGTTATCTCCCCTGAGTGAGAAAACTGTTACAAACAATTTAACCCACGCGAATGATTTGTTTTACAAAGTTTCAATAACTTAGTCACGCCCCTTCCCACAGCCCAGCCAAACCTTAACCCATAACGAATATTCATAACCGTACACTGCACACTTCATTTAAAAACCAATTCATTGAACGTCTTTCCCCTTCACATCGTAAAATCAGTCGTCGATCTGCGCCAGGGGAAGACAACCGTTGCATATTTCGTTCCGCTGTTAGCTCCCTTCGCTGTCTGCCTCATTTTAAATTCTCCGCCCTTCCTTCATTCGACAGTGATCGTGTTTTGGCGCGTACGTATTTAATCTTTCGGATTGGTTGAGGGTAGTCCAAACTCTCAAATGACCATAATTTTTGAACCCGTTTTTATCGGTTTTTAATGCTTGTTCGCCAACGAAAATAAATTCGCTTGTTGTATTATTCTAGCAACTGAATATCGATTTTACAAAAATACGTTTTTGTTAGAGATACCGTAAAGGCTATTTAAATATTGTAACAGTATAACATCGCTTAAACTTGGAAGAGAAAACTTATTTCAGAATGGAATAGACGCAGAAAGTAGAAGTGTCGATTCTTTCAGTTCAACTAGGAAACACGCAGGATGTGTGATGTTGTGGTGTGTGGGTGAGTAGTCGGACGTGTTGCAGACGTGCTGGAGCGAAACGGTCACGCCAGGCTATTTCAGTCCATGTGAACTCAAGCGTACAGCGTCATGCTTGGATTGTTAAGTAACCTGTGCTTCCTGTGTGTGCTGGGTAAGTTCTGGTCAGGGGTTCTTTCAGACTTTTTTTTTTACTCCGGATGAGGTTGGCACATGAAATTTCGAGGGGTGGTGGAATTAGCCTAAAAGAAACTCTGGTTAACTTTGTTGTGTGTGCTGTATTCAGTTTGCTAGTCGTGTAGTAGTTATAGTAGGAATATTTGAATTTACATTCAGACTTGCTTCAAATGGCAACTGTTTGCGTGTAATTTATGTGCTATCGACCAGAACCAACAAATACTGGAAACTTTTTTTATCATCGGCTTGGTAACGCAACCTACCCCTCAATATAAAACTTAACCCTGCTGTTACTTTGATCCTCTTTACTCCTTGTTGAGCTTAGGTCAATAGACGCTTGTGGGAAAGTTATAGAAAAAAGTCACAGGAAAAAAGTCACAAATTTTAATTTGCAAAGAATTGGCTAATGCATTTACGAAATACAATTTCAGGAAGTAGTAATCGACACAATAGTAATTAATCCATCTTAATGTCGATATATCTAAATCGTTTCTGACTTTCGTAAGCCTTAAAAGTTTGTAGGCCCAAGGCACAGTACCTAATGCATAAGGCGGCCCTTGCCTCAACCATTACCTTTAACTTTGCCCGGTCCCCTCTGTGTAGTTTGCTATGAACTAGAAGACATCCCTGCTGTCTTTAGTTCTTTGATAATTCGCCTCCGGCTTAACACTATTTTTAGCGCAATTTCCATACGGACAATTGCGATTATTAACTCGTCATTTCTGGATGGATGAATGAAGGGATGTGTGTCCGCAGCTTTACCGCAGCTTTAAGTCGTATCTCCTCCTCAACGAAGCAATATCGAGGACTAGTTCCAAAGCAAATATGTTAAGCAAGTTCCGAGGATGATTGTGGGCCAAAAAATTCCCGGAATTCCTTCCTGGATTTCCCGGAAAAGCCAAAAATCCTCGAAAAAATGCAGTTTTTGGCCCATATCTCGGCAACCAGACCACTTAGCGACTTGAAACATTTACCAATCGATTCCTGCCATAATTTAGAGCAATATTGCAGAAGACAGTTTTCAAAAATATCCTTTCGTTCGGTCACAAAATTTTTTAAAAATTACATAAACACCTACAAACCGATCGTTCTCCTAGCTTGAACGCACCCCAGCATTATACGTCTTTGTGATCACTATCTATTTTTAGATAACATAAGGAAATTGCGCTTAAATTGTCACTAGACTTTTTATTAACTTGTTTTTATAAAAATGTGTATTTGTATTGACCTTTAAACGGTCAGTTCAATTTTACTACACTGTTAGTAAACAAAATAATCGTAAACAATTGTTATTTTGTATTATTAAACAAATGCGATACTCCTTAACAAAAACTTATTTATTATGATCATTGTTTTAATTTGACACTGTTCATTTTTGCTGTTTTAAGTAGGCCTTATATATATATATATATATATATATATATATATATATATATATATATATATATATATATATATATATAATTTTTTTTTCTGTAATGTATGAATGTAGTCATGTATGTTTGTAGCTCTCGTGCTACAAGACACGCTGGCCTGTGACCTTGGCACCTACCAGATTGACCCAAGCAACGTGACCAGCTACCTCCAGTGTGACAACGGAGTGTGGTTGAGCAGGCCCTGTGCACCCGGCACCGTGTACTGTGGAACTGGCGCCACCTGCGACTACGCGTCTGCAACATGTGACCGTGAGTAGATGGGGGGGGGGGAGCTGCAGCCGTCTGTGTGTGTGGTGACGTCTTCGTGAGAATCATATGTGTCGGTGACGTCACTGTGGGATTCCTCTGTGTGTCGGTGACGTCACATAAGGTTCCTCTCTGTGTCAGTGATGTCACGGTGAAGTTCCTCTGTGTGTCGGCCACGTCACCATGAGAATCCCATCCCAAGTGTGTCGGTGACGTCCCACAGAACGTGTGTCAGAATCCTCTGTTTGTCGGTGTGTGATGGAATCATGTTTCGCTCAAACAACACAGATGAGCGCTAGAAAAATGTGTTCCAATGACGACGCTTTAAGTCCCGGCTTCTTTGTCGTCATGCCGTGTTGTTGTCTTGTCGTGTTGTTGTCTTGTGTTGTCGTCGTGTCGTGTTGTCGTGTCGTGTTGTTATCGTGTCATGTTGTCGTCATGTGGTGATGTCGTGTCGTGTTGTCGTCGTGTCGTGTTGTCATCGTGTCGTGTTGTCGTCGTGTCGTGTTGTCGTGTTCATTCTCCATTGCACAATTTAATGTATTTGATGTGGATTTGGGTTTTTTTCTAAGCCTGTGTGTTCGCAACTAAATCAATGCCCCCTACCCCCCCCCCCCTCACCATCTTTTAAATCAAAGTGTCCCCTTTTAAGGATCAAACGTCGTTCCTTTTTATATCAAATGGTTATCATTTAGATCAATGTGTTCCCTTTGAAATAGTGTGTTCCCATTGAAATAATGTGTTCTCTTTGAACCGTTTTTCCTGTTAAATCAATGAGACCCCCCCCCCTTTAGTTTTATTCAGTTATCAATGTATCGATCTCTCGAATACAGCCAATCAGATGTTTTGTTTACAACGACGACATTACCTCACTTCCGGTTTCTTAACGACTTGCTCCCCAGAGCTTTCAGACGGATGTTAGTGACGTCATCGGCAGCCGCGTTCACTGCTCAGTTACCCGTAAACAATCTGGTCGGACTACTGACTGATTTACTGACCAAACGACAGGTCAATCGCCCAAACACCGACTTAATAAACTGACTGAATGACTTAATGTCTACGGGTTTAATTGACTAAAACTAAAACAAATGCCTCAAGTAAAAAAAAATGTCAGTTTTAATTTTATTTCCTCACATGTATTATTCAGTGTTAAAGCTAATTGTGAAAACCGAAATAACAAACCCAAACTATGAGAGAATTTGAGACATTGTTGTTTGAAATAGGTCTGGCGTCAGTAGGTGGGGTGGGAACAGGGCATTACCCCCCCCCCCCCCGTCAATTATCCCCCGGACGTTTCCCCCCGCCCAGTAGGACATTACCCCCGGTCATAGCTTAAGGTTCAGCTAGGGTTAGGGGTTTGAGTTTGGGCTAGGTTTAGGATTAGGGTTTGAGTTTGGGCTATGTCTAGGGTTAGGGTTAGGATCAGGGTTAGGCTTAAATCAATGTCTAGAGTTGGGTTTGGTTTTGGGTTAGTTTTAGGGTGAGGTGAATTCTTAGGTTTTTAGTCTTTGTCTTAAGGTTAGGATTAAAGTAATATATAGGTATAGAGTTGGAGTTAGAATCAGGATTCTATCTTGGTGGATGTATGGGGGGGGGGGGGGAATTGCCCAGGGGGGTAATTGTCAGTGGGGGGTAATTTCTCCGGGGGGTAAATACGGGGGGGGGGGGCGGGATGCAGGGGTGCTCAGCCCCAGGCAGCCCTTATTATCCGACGCGAGAAACATGTGTAGCACGTGACCACACATGTTTCAGGTGGTGTTGAAGCAAAAACCCACGCCCCTGAAGCAGCGGTTCTTCCGGGGTGTAGTAAGGCCAGGCATTCACCTTTATTTTGTAACAAGTTCACGAACACTCAGTTCCCAGGGGGGGGGGGGGGGGGGGTTGTCAATCAACCCGGTTAAACCAATTGATTTTGTTGATCTCTGATATAGAGTCATTGATCAGTGTGAAAGCTTAAGTGAGCTTGTCTGAGTAGAAAAGGTAGCATAGATTTTTTTTTTAAATTTTGAGTCTTTTAAGGTCAGCGTTATTTGGAATGGAAACTTTATTACATTTGTGTTCGTTATTCTTTCGTATTATTTAGAGATGTTAAAATAATCATAAGAGGGATCATAGCAAATAAGACATTTTTGTGTTGCCCCTCTAGTCAGATAAATCGATTTAAGTCTATCGCCATAAAATGCTGTGTCTTTATAATCCCTTTCATCTTAATTATACTATACGTTTAAATAAAACAATGCCCTTTTGTTAATTCTTTAACAGAATCGCAGTACACAACAACTGCTGCTCCTACGACCGTAACTACATTTAATCCGCCAACAACAACACTGCCCCCAACAACTGCTCCGCCCACAACTGCTCCGCCCACAACTGCTCCGCCCACAACTGCTCCGCCTACAACTGCTCCGCCCACAACTGCTCCGCCCACAACTGCTCCGCCCACAACAGCCCCGCCCACAACGACAGCCCCGCCCACAACGACAACCCCGCTCACAACGACAGCCCCGCCAACAACGACAGCCCCGCCCACAACGACAACTCCACCCACAACATTACCTTACAGATACCATTACCTGATCCCAAACCTCCTGTACTCGTCCACCCTCGGTAAACCGGAAAGGACGCTAGTAATCACAACAACGGGCCTGGTCACGTGGGGAATACCGACTCTGATTTCCATCACCTTTGTACCTTCCACAAACACGACCTCAGCAGCCTTGACCTTCTTCAACCCGACGTTTCAGCTTCGACTTCCGGATCCCTCGCAGACGATCTCAAATTCCTCCGGCGTTTTCAACTCCGTGATCGACGTCGCTTCCACCGATGACGTCAGCGTGTTCTTCATCCAGCACGTGGCCGCACGCACGTCATCGCTGGCCGCCATCTTGCCCACGACTTCCGCCAGGCTCTGGTACGTCGTCATCAGCGGTCCACAGACTCCCAACGTAAACTACAACATCCTGCGGTTTTATTGTGTAGTTTTAGCAGTTGAAAACGCCACGATCGTACAGGCCAAGTTCCCCGGTGGCATGACGTCACCTTTGACCTTCACCTTGGATGGGATCGGGGTGACCGGCCCCAAGCAGGTTGGGTTTTCTATGGACGCCCTGGAGGGAGTTTTGCTACAGGCTGGCGTGGATCTGTCTGGGACTTTGTTGGAATCTCAGAAACCTGTGCTGGTCTTTGCTGGCACTCAACAGGTGAGTCAAAGTCAGTTTAGATCAGTCATGTTTTAACTATTCAGTCAGTTTAGATCAGTCATGTTTTAACTATTCAGTCAGTTTAAATCAGTCATGTTTTTACTTTCTCGTACACGAAGTATAGAGGAAGTATTGTAATCGTGCAAAAACTGGAATCGAGATTTTCACAAATCTTTACGTTTTAGACCTTCCTGATTCGGAAAAACTTAATTTTGCAATCTTTTCTGTATGTCTATGTGTGTGTATCTAAGTGTCTGTCTATGACACACAATAACTTGAGTACCGTTACAGCTAGGTTGACGAAATTTCACACATGGGTATTAAATTAAATGTATCAACTTTTCAGCGATTTCCTGTAACCGGCAGTGGAACTTATTCTACTTTAAGTTTTTCAAAAGCCTGTAACTTGAGTACTGTTTCTGATAGACGAAATTTCACATATAAGTAAAGGATCTAATGCTATCAAACTTTGAGTAATTTCCGCTGACCGGAAGTACTACTTTAAGCTATTCCAGATTTCTCAAAAAACGCATTTGAATTTATAAAGTACTAATATTCCATATTATACACGCATTGTTTGCTGTTCACTTTGGGCGCGATTTTTTTTTCTACGAGATTCTATTCTATTTTTAAAAGTTTAAGTATGTAAAAACTGATTAAAAAGCATGTCTATATCCCGAGTTGCCATCCCCCCTAACGTTATATTAGAATATTCTCTCTACAAGCTTTTGAAAACAAATGGGCTGTTAAAAAAGAATTTGTAAAAAAAAAAAAAAAACATTCTTTTATATTTGCATGTTTGTTTAAAATAATCATTAAAAAAGTTTTAAAAAACCCACGTTTTCTGATTGAACTAAAAAGTAGAAAATAAATGCTATAGGCCCTACATCACAATAATGCAAGCGATCACTCTACTATAAGCGATCAAAAACGTGGGGCGCCGAAGTAAAAGTTATATTACTATTGATTAGATAATACTATTGACTTTTATTAGGGAGCTTGTAGAGAGTCAACAGTATTAGAAACTGTAAGAAAATCACGGCGCCCCACGTTTTTGCTCGCTTATAGTAGAGTGATCGCTTGCATTATTGTGATGTAGGGCCTATAGCATTTATTTTCTACTTTTTAGTTCAATCAGAAAACGTGGGTTTTTTAAAACTTTTTTAATGATTATTATTTTCTACTTTTTAGTCTTTGTCTGTTTGTTTGCATTAAAATCTTGCTATCGATTTTATCTTTTCACTTTTTTTGGGTAAACGAAGACAACTCGTAAAAAGACAACTCGTAAAAAGACAACTCGTAAAAAGACAACTCGTAAAAAACACGTTGTTTGAATACGTTACTGACTAGAACACATAGATTTGAACCCGTGTCGAGTGGGATAGCAATCGTGTGCCCAACCACTCGACCATATCGTCTCCCCCAAACTGGCCTACCTCCTGTAAGTTTAAACTCGGTTCAAGCTAAATTCTCTGCCCCTAAGCCTGTGGCGACATGTGATCGTTCGCTTCACTGCGCGCGAGGTACGCGTCGCTGGTTTTTTTTCTAATGGCTAGCAGAGGAGAATTATATATATAGATTATATAGCGGTCTAAAATGCTCAATAAAATGTTTCCATTGATCAATTTAGTAATAATAACAATTGAATATTCAATGGTCATCCAAAAGAAAGCTTCCCTGAAAATTTCAGCGCGCTAGCTAACTGGGAAGTGCCAGAAATTTCGATCGCAAGATTTGATTGGAAAGACAAACAAACAAACAAAGACACAGAGAAAGCAAGTTAAAGAAAAAACGTGGGAAAAACAAATCGTGTGAGCCGTTATTTACAAAATTACCGATAGAGTTTTGTGAGAGATTAAACCTTTATTTATTTTAACCAAAAGACAATTCAGACGCAATAAAAATAAACTTTCTCTCTTCCTCCAAGACAGCTAAGGCTGCAGGCAAAAAAAATGTATATTACTTTGTAAACACGCAAATAAAACGGGAAAAATAGCGGGTATAGATTTGTTTTATTTGCTCCGGGATAATCGTGACAGCCTTTCATTCCAAGTTTTTAAGCAATCGCTTTGTGCATCGAGGTAAGTAAATAATCAATGAGGACAGGGTCGTCTGCGGGGAATCTGAAGAGCTGTCGGTGAAACAAAGCGGGTATTTTAGTTGAAACGATAATTGGTGAACTTGACAGAACTAAAGACTTGGTTTATTGGTTGAATAGCTGGACTTATGTGTATCTAATTTATAGGGTAAAATTGTTGATCTGAAGTAATTATTTTTTTTACAGTTATAATGGCAAATAACACATCAATGGTGATTTTTATCAACGTTGATCGAATAGTTTATCCTTATTAGATTTAATTTCGGGCAGATGAGGCTCGTTAGCTGGGGACAGCATATACTTAATTGTTGTAGGGAATCCCTTCCAACACTAAAATTTAGAACGAAGAAGAAGATCTAATTAAAATCATGATTATGTTGGTCTATAACTGTTGGGCTATTTACCTAATGGTACGTGGATCAAAAAAGAGGTTAAGAAAAGTAATCACCTTCTTGGACCTAACGGTAAAAAGACCACACCTCCCATAGCACTAGACAACACCTCCCATAGCACTAGTCCACACCTCCCCCAGCACTAGTCCACACCTCCCCTAGCACTAGACAACACCTCCCATAGCACTAGACAACACCTCCCATAGCACTAGTCCACACCTCCCCCAGCACTAGTCCACACCTCCCCTAGCACTAGTCCACACCTCCCCTAGCACTAGACCACACCTCCCCTAGCACTAACCCACACCTCCCCTAGCACCAACACACACCTCCCCTAGCACTAGTCCACACCTTCACTAGCACTAGACCACACCTCCCATAGCACTAACACACACCTCCCCTAGCACTTGTCCACACCTTCCCTAGCACTAGTCCAATACTCCCTGTTTAAAAACAGCTGGTTAACTGTATACAACATTGCTTCAAAACATAGTCAGCTCAATTGCTGTTGTTGTGTCGTTGCTATGGCAACGCTCGAGGATAGCATGAGTAGGCTATTAAAATTTGAACACGTTTCCTTAACAAATACATTCTCAATAAAAAAAATTAGCCCTGTTTTAAAATTCCCCACAAAAGTAAACTACTTGAATCTCTCACAGCCGTTCAATGAAAGATGTTTTTGAAAACATTGAAGAGTTTTGTTCACCTGAATAAATAAACAGCCATTCTAAAGATAGAAAAATATTTATCATCTTAAATACAATCCAGTAGTATGGATCTTGGTATCACGTGATGGTTGTTTTGAATATTCAGAACCTAGAACAGGGGCTTGAATTCAGCATATGTTATAGAGCTAAGTGATTAGAATTTAGTACATACATTTGTAGCATGGAAAACAAAGAGTAAATTTTCTTAAAGTAAATATTATTTTAATGTGGAAAACTGAAATTTGACACGAATAGGATATATATATATATATATATATATATATATATATATATATATATATATATATATGTGTGTGTGTGTGTGTGTGTGTGTGTATGTGTGTGTGTGTGCTTGCGTACGTGAGAGAATGTGTTTGTATGCGTGTGTGTGTTGTGTGAAGAACCCGTGTTTCTTTCATGTATTCCCCCCTCCCCCAACCGGACGAAAATAGGAAACATAAATTCCAGTTCCCCCTCCGTTTATTAAATGTCGCCCCTCCACACCCCGGAGAAAGTGTCTGGGAAAAAAATCCCTTGTATGACCTTCCTTATCCCGTTTTCATCGAGTCTAATGAAGCCTGACGGTGCTGCCTCCATTTAATGCCCTATTAAAAATCTCCCATGCTTCAAAGCGCCTGCATATCAGAACAGAATAATTCATTCAGGTCTCGACACTGCAAGTGGACTGGTTTTATTTAATGATAACTAGTTGGTAGTGTTAATAATTCTGTTAGAATTTTTTTTTGTCTATGGGAAAGGTTAACTAGACGAGATTTGAAAAGAAAGGTGATGAAAGGAATCTTTGGGTGACTGGACCTTCAGAACAAAAAATTTGACGCGAAATCGACCAGTTTTATTTTATTATTTTTTTTAATGGTGTTCATTTTTTTTTAAAATTCCAATTCAATAGATTTTTGTTGTTTTGTTAGGAAAAGGTAGATTTCTAGGAAAATGTGAAAAGTTGTTTCTGTATCGTTTTCGTTTCGGGACCCTTTTTTTTAAAAATTATTTTTAATGAACTGTACAAAGTGCTGACGCCATAGCTATAAAAAAATTCAGGGTGGGTGTGGGGAGGGAGCTTTTGCACATACGGTTACGATGTTTAACATACATAATAGAAAAAGTGGGAAATTTGGTGGTACAGAGAGATAACCCACAAAAGTCTTAAGTTCGAACCCCCAGACAGAGGCTCGTTAGCTGGAAACAGCCACCCATTTAGGAAAGATGACACCAAAATCTAACAACTGCTGCCTTGTAGTTGTTCTCGGTTGAACAATGTCTTTTGAGCTACATTGACTAAAAAAGCCGCCTTTATTAGGTCAACGGGTCATATGGCGCCACAGACGTTGACACGTAATACTGAATTGTATTGGGGGTAGCAATAAAATACGTTTAAAAATGAAAAAAAAATGAAAAAAATAGGCGGAGATTTTCTTCAGCTGTAGTAATATGCAAGAACTAATTTCACTATTAATTTAAGACAATCTGTTTTATTTTTTGTCTTGTGGGTATAACATTTTTAAAATTAATTTTTGTCTTATCGATTTAAAAAGTTTGTTTTTATTAAGGTCATTAATGTTTAAAATATTGAAATGGTTTGTAAACATAAGTATATAACACATTATTTGACGTTTTACGGTATTTCAAATTGTGGGGTTTTTATTTGTATAGTCGATCACATTCGTCAGTTGTGACTAGTAAATGACTTGTTCCAAAGTTGTTCACTGATTTCAGGTCAGCGATGACGTAGCCAGTCCGGATGAGACGTGGAACACGGAGCAACTACTTCCGGTTGACGTTGCCGGAAGTGATTACGTCACGATACCGTCATTCGACTCGTCGTCTGTGATTACATACATAGTTGTCTCTATCATGGGAAACACAACAGTCGAGGTAACGCGAGGGGGGAGTGGGGGGGAGGGGGATCAAATAGGGGTGGTAAATTAAGACCGGGGGTGTCATATAGGGATGGTAAATTTAGACCGGGGTTGTCATATAGGGATGGTAAATTTAGACCGGGGGGTGTCATATAGGGATGGTAAATTTAGACCGGGGGGTGTCATAAAGGGATGGTAAATTTAGACCGGGGGTGTCATAAAGGGATGGTAAATTTAGACCGGGGGTGTCATAAAGGGATGGTAAATTTAGACCGGGGCAACATGGGCAACACAACAGTCGAGGCTGGAAGATGTGTGTGGGGGAGGGGGGGTCAAATAGGGTGGTAAATATAGTTGGGGGTGAGAGATTGGGTGGGGGTCTATCATGGGGAAGAAAACCGTCGAGGTAACCTGATGCTGGAGGGGGGGGGGGGAGTCGAGTTGGGGGTTAGGAAAGATGGGCTTGGTAGGGATAGGGAATAATCAGATAATACCTCAGAGATGAGTAATACAGATATATTTTAATTATTAAGAAGAAAAAATGTATAAGGGGGGGGGGGGGGGCTTTTTTTACTACAGTATAGTTCAAAATTGTTGCTTATCGGATATTTTCAAAAGTGTTTGAGTTAGCTAAACAAAAGTCTTATTGTCTACCATCGATACACGCCGTCACAAAAGGTCAGACACTCCCCCCCCCCCCCACACACACACACACAAACACCCACATTTAAAAGAAAGTATTCAAATTCCTGCATTTTATTTTAAATAAAGGAAAAGGTTAAATATTTAAAAATTACAAAATTGTTTGCTTTTATCTCTTTGAAATACATATATAATTATATACATTTTCATAACCTCTAACATGCACACACACACACACACACACTCTTCGCCTGTCGCCTCAAGAAGCACACCGTAACAACCTTCCCCCCCCCCTCCACACCCCTATGTCATATATGGACATCCCAATAACATATTTTTCCCTGTGTGTGCCCCAGGTACCAGAGCTTCTAGACTATTCCTCTCCCGGCCGCAGCTTCTTAACCAGCCCAGGGGATATCCTCCAGTTCCGTCTGACGCCCACCCAGAGGTTCCACCTCATCAGATCCGACCGGCCAGTCCTGCTGACGCAAGTCACCGAGTCAGTCAACGCGTCAGTCACCCATGACTTGAGCTCCTGCGCAGTCAACCTGTTACCACGAGCTGCCTGGGCCAGTAACTACTCCTGGACGACGCCATCTTTTCTTTACAACGCTTCCGGTTTCTCGGCTTACCTCTTCGTCGTCATGCACGCCAACGCGACGTCACAGTTCCGGGTCAACGGCTCGGCCGTGACCTCAGTCACGTGGGTGAATGTTTCTTCCGGTTTGAAGGAGAGTGGATTAGTGGGCGGTTACCTAAAGATTGACGTCTTTCATCATTGGATAGATACTAACCAATCAAATGCGAGATTCGCTGCTTACCTGTACATTTCCGGTACGGGGATAAAAATGTGTACATCCTTAGCTCATCTTAACAAGCAGGTAAGGATTGATAAATCTACTTTTGAAGTCCCATTCAATGTTGTCTTTTTTTTTTTACATTTTTGTTATTTGTTTTTCTTTAAACGTCGATCTTGAAAGTACTGACAGAATAGCAGAGCTATGAAGCTTGAAACTGAAGATGAGGGTATAAATTATGTTAATCCATTGTTATTTTTATTCTCGTGTATTCAAATCCAAACGTTGATAGAATCAAACTGGGACTATTTAGTGATGAACACAGCTCGGGGGGAAGGCGGGGTTGTATTCGTTTGCAGAGGCGTAGCGAGGGGGCGGGGGGTGCGGACCGCACCGGGTGACACCATTTAGGGGGGTGACACCAAGGCAAAAAATAGCAAAATATATAGAGAAAAACTTGAGGGGGGGGGGGTGCAAATCGAAAGTTTGAAGGGGGTGCAAATTGAAAACTTGAGGGGGGTGTAAATCGAAAATTTGAAAGTTTGTCCCCGGGAAGGGCCGCTACGCCTCTGGGGGGGGGGGGGGGGGGGGGGTCGACACCATTAAGTGCCGCACCGGGTGACACCCGACCTCGCTACGCCACTGTTAGTTTATCGAGTAGGTGTCTTGTTCATTGTTTGACGATGAAAGCACGAAATATTCACAAGCTGGTCGCAGAGGCGTAGCGATGGGGGGGGGGGGGGGCAGGGGGGGTACATATGTCCCCGGGCGCCGACCTTAGGGGGGTGCCAAAATGGGTTGTAAAAACAAATTAAAATGTCATTTTAGCTGCATTTTTGCATTATAAATCGAAAGTTTGAGGGGGGGTGCAAATTGGTCGAGTAATTTGTATTTAATCAAATATTGTTCTCATGAATCAAGGTCAGTTCTTAATGATCAAGACTAGGAATGTACTAATTAATCAAGCATTGTTCTAAGTGATGATGTATAATTGTAATTGACCTAATGGTGATCTAATTAATGAAGGTTTGTTTGAACTGATCTAGTATGGTTCTAATCAATCAAGTAGTGTTCTAATTAATCAGGTAATGATCTAATCATTCAAATATCGTTCTAAGTAATCAACTATTGTTTCGTTTACCTCTCCACAAATACATTTAACATCACACGCGCACACACACACACACACACACCTGCACATGCAAGCACCAATACGCACTCGTGCTAACGACGCACAAGCACAGAACAATGCTAACACTGCACAGACCTAAACTTTGTTTACATTGTACTGTCACGAAGCGATTCTTCGAGATTGGAAAACCTCGACAATATCTCGTAATACGATTGTATTGTACCACTTCTAGACAATATGACAATACGGGTTTCCATAGTTCGATAACAAAAGGTGGTTTCACAATGGGTGAGAGGGGTAGTTGGGTAATGCATGCCTATAGCCGAGTAATGCTGTTATAATGAAGTGATGTTATCAAACTATAAAACATTTAATTAAAATATTATATCTTGAGTTTGATTGAAATTTTCGTAAACAAAGAGTAGGAAAAAAACTATAATTGTGATTTTTCAAAAAAAATTGTAGAAGAAAAGAAATTTAAATAGTACAAAAAAAGTTTTTTAAAAAAAGACAAAAAAATTTTTGGATTGTTTAAACTAAGGTACGAAAACAATCTGATTGTTTGAAATAAAGGACCCTTTGAGTTTAGCTTCGCGGGCTTGTTTCGATGACTGAAGGACAATAGACGGATTGACGTCTGTTTTTATGTCCACGATTTGACTGGCACATTTCATTCATCAAACAGCACCGTGGTACCGTGGAGATATCGGTGGCACCAACAGAGATCAATACACCCCTTTGTGTTTTTACCCAGACCGTTGACATAATTTCGACCCAGAGATTTTCGTTCTCGGGTTTTTATTTTTTATTTTTTTATGTTTCTGTAGTTCGAAAATCATGACAAGAGTTGCTTCAGAAAGTTCGCGGTTTTTTTTTTCTTTAAAAAATGTGCCAGAAAAGTTTTGAAAAAATCTGGGGTTGTTCGTGGTTTACCAGCAATGGCGGATCAAAAGGGAGAGATTGATCGGTGTGAAGCCAAATGGCTTCCGATTTTTAAGGGTCCAACTTTTTTTATTAGTCATACAGCGTTTATTGTCTATCTAGGTTAGATACTTGAAATCAGGGTTTCTTCCAGACTTTTTTTCTCCGGAGGGAGTGGGGGGGGGGGGGGGGGTGTGGCAGAGGCGTAGCGAGGGGTGGGGCGGGGGTGCGGACCGCACCGGGTGACACCATTTAGGGGGTGACACCAAGGCAAAAAATAGCAAAATATATAGAGAAAAATTTGAGGGGGGGGGGTGCAAATCGAAAGTTTGAGGGGGGGATGCAAATCGAAAATTGAAAGTTTGTCCCCGGGAAGGGTCGCTACGCCTCTGGTGGGTGACACCATTAAGTGCCGCACCGGGTGACACCCGACCTCGCTACGCCACTGGGGGGAGGCACTGGTAAAAGTATGTTTTCTATATAAATTACATTTCGTTCGGGCGGGGGGGGGGTAGACTATCATCTCCGAAGAGATGGCTGGGAGAAATTCTGCTTGAAAATGAAATGTCCCCACTCTTTTACTTTTGTTTATGATGTATATGAAGCTACAGAGGGAAAAATGTATTTGAATTTTTTTTTCAGAATGTTTCAAACCTAGTGGTCAACTGGTCGTATGCAGTTCAGCAACAAATTCAATACGGCTTTGACGAAATCTCCACAACCACAACAGACGTCACGACTTTTGAGTCTACGTATAGCACCCTGCAGACGACCTCTAGCGACGTGTCTACATATAAAACCGACCCGACGACATCCGGCGGTGACGTCACCGTACCGGAAACGACTTCGAGTAGTAATCCCAACAGCACTTCCGAGTGCGACCTATGGGTTGCGACTTCCGCCAAGTTGAACCTAACACAGTCGGAAAAGGATGAGTTGCTGGCCAAAATAAAAACGTACCTGTTCGTCAACCCTAAGGACACGTCGGCCTACAGGAGGACTCTGGAGTCCACCCCCGACAACAGACCGGTCAGTACCGGAATAGGAATCTCTGGGATAATGTTCCTGGTTTCGGTTGGCCTGTGTTTGTTGATTTCCGACTTGATAAATGTTATTTCCTGTTTTAAACAAAGCAGCCAATCAAAGAGGTGAACTAGTACCTAACGACTATATGTAACTATTTAGTTGACTTGACCAGCACCATTTAGTTAACTTGACCAGCACCATTTAGTTGACTTGACCAGCACCATTTAGTTGACTTGACCAGCACCATTTAGTTGACTTGACCAACACCATCTAGTTGACTTGACCAACACCATTTAGTTGACTTGACCAACACCATCTAGTTGACTTGACCAACACCATTTAGTTGACTTGACCACAACCATTTTTTTACTTGACCAGCACAACTTTATTGACTTGACCTCCACCATTTTGTTGATTTGACCAAGACCACTTAGCCTATTTATTTTTGTTGAATTATTTTTTTTTATATTTTTATCAACCAGACAACTTGTTAATATTTTATAATATGTTTATATGTTAACAGTTTTGGTTGATATTCTTACTTATGATGTTGATAATCTGACTGTTGATGTTGATAAGCTAACTGTTAATATATGTTGATGTGTGTTAATGTTTGATAATTGTTTTTTTATGTAGATGTAGACTAACAAAACTATTAATATAAACAAATAAAATTAACCTGACGAAGTAGTGAATTAAACTGTAAATGTATCACCCTTTCTTCCCACACCCTGTCTTAGATTTGAAGCGTTTGTATGCAGGGTTTCTTCCAGACTTTTTTCTCCGGGGTGGCACTTGATATTTTCGGAGGGGGGTCAACATTTTCTGGGGGGGGGGGCGGACACTAGTAAAAGTATATTTTTACTATATAAATTCAATCTCGTTCGGGGGGGGTAGACTCTCTTCGGGGATGGTCGAGCCCCCCCCCCCCGAAAATATCAAGTGCCGAAGAGATGCCTGGAAGTAACTCTGTCTGTATGTAAGTAACATTACCTAACTTAAACAATACTAAAGTTATCGGCTTTTGAGAAACCAGAAGTATAGTTAGTACCATTTCCCGTTACCGAAAATCGGCATGAAATTGACAGAAAACTACAATTTGGATATAACAGGCTATTTAGATGCGAAATTACATCAACTTAACTGAAACGGTAGTACTTAAGTTATCATTTGTACAGACGCACACGCACACATACATACAGACTCAAGACGGCGTAAAATGTCAAGATTTCAATTTCTTTCACGAATACAATACTTCCTCTCTACTCCGTACACGAAAAATGTCAGAATTTGTAAAACAGCGAGGAATGTCAACATCTCATTTGATTTTTTTTTTTGCACGATTACAATACTTCCTCTATACTCTTACTCAGTATACGAGAAAGTAAAAACACAAATATAATTTTTTGTTCAAAACTGCCTCTGTCAAAACGCATCTTTTGTTTCGGATTAGTGCAAATTGATTCGTGCCTTGTTTTTATGTGGTTTCTAACCCGAGGATCGATCCCGCCACGCTCTGTTGGAGCTTGACGTATCATGCCAGTTGGTCATTGGTTGACTGAATGGCAATAAAACTGGTGTGCAGTCATCCATGGCCTGATGATTACATCAGCATTATCAGAGATGTAAAAGTAAGATTCCTTGTTTTGTCTGTTTAAACAAAAACTGCTTAAATCAATAGAGCAGGCAAACAATAGAAGTAAATCACTATCTTTATTGCTCATGCTAACGGAAGCAATGATGATATAGTAATGATAACGTTAAATAATCTTTATCTTTTCTTATTCGTGCTAAAAACTCGTGGGGCAGATGTAGTAGAGTTCATCTATTTCAATGGTTTCGGCATACAGATAGTGTGATCAGCAATGTGTCTAGCAGGCTTTATTTCCATAACGTCAGGTACCCATCAGGGCTGAATGGACTATGGGGCGGCCTACAGACTCGAGTCCGGGATCCGAACTCGAAACTTTCGGGTTAGCAGTCTAGCGCTCTACCGTTCGGCCACGCCGTTCCTTAACTTTTAATAATAACAGAATCATGGACGCTATATTTATCGTAGATAGGCTAGAAAGACTGGTGATGTCATGGCATAACCAGTGTCATAACCAGAGGCGTAGCTACCCTTCCAGGCGCCCGGGGACAAACTTTTCGATTTGCACCCCCCCACCCTCGAGATTTCGATTTGCACCCCCCCCCCCTCGAGTTCGATTTGCACCCCCCCCCCTCGAGATTTTTATTTGCACCCACCCCCCTCAAACTTTCAATTTGCACCCCCCTCAACCTTTCAATTTATTTTTCCAACCCATTTTGGCGCCCCCTAAGCTCGGCGCCCGGGGATATATGTCCCCCCCCCCCGCCCCCCCCCCCTCGCTACGCTACTGGTCATAACATGACCATGTGACATGACCATTGTGTCAACATAGATGACACTGTCATGACAACCAGGAGCAAGTGACATGACCTGCCATGATAAATCAATGTCAAACTTTTTGGGATTGACAAACCGACTGACCATGTCAGTTAGAAATCATATGGTCAGTGCTGCAACTGTCACTACTAACATGTTATATCCTATTTTTCCTTATGTGCCCAAGATATATGAGGGCTGTAAAATGTTATACACAATGCCTGATATTTTATTTAAAGCCTTTATGAAAACACTTTTCATATTCAGGACTTTTGTTAACCCATAGGTTGTTTTTTCTGCCTCCCCCCCACCCCCCCCCCCTCCCCTAATAACTACTGTTATATTGAAGACCATGCCCTTGTGTAATTCTAACTTGAAACTCTGACCATCACTGGCTTGACTTGTTTAAAATATTAAAATTTGAATCAATTTTCTACCTGTAATTGTAATTAAAACAGCCCAACTCAGAATGTATTTATTAATAGAATTAATTAAAAACCAAGGTCAAAGTTCACATTCTAATTAAACGATACAGCCCCATGATAATCAACAACAACAGTAACTCACACCACGTGTGTAGGAATTGTTTCACCAAATTTTATTTACACTTTTTAACTTTTTCATCCTATCTACTCAGTGTAGTGCAGACAATGTAAACAGTGTTTTTAATCTTACCCAAGCACATTCATCAGTGCGAGTATATCGGCACACAAACAGGCCACACATGCAAACACTTACAAGGCAGTTAATTGGAAACCTACAACCAATTCTTTTAAACTTACTTTTCAAATTTTAACTTGTTGAAACTACAAAATCAATTTAGAAGTTTTATTTTGTCCTTGCATTTTCTTGTACAGAATTTTTTTCTCTTCAAATTTGTTGCTTCAAACTGGTTTTCAGTGAAGAGCAATGTACACAAAAATGCATTTGGTTTGTACTAGGTATGGATACTACATCCATAAAATCACATCTTCTGTTTCTGAATTGAGCTATTGGATTCGTTTAATTGTTGTTTGTTTTTTTGTTTTTTAATAACATAATTTTTTAAATATTTATTTTTAACCAGTATCGTAGCAACTTCTTTCTGTCAACATTTAGTATCAAAACATAAAGAATTTATCTGGTAAACAATGCATAAGTTACATCCCTTTTCCAGTTACTAATGATAGGCAAAATTTTAGAAGGATCAAAGATTTAGTTGAAGATAGGTAATGATAAACAGTGCTGTTATTTTAAAAAATCGAAAACTATTTCCTTCTGAAGTAATGTAAAAATAAAAAAATATGGAATAAGAGTTAATTATTTAAGAGTTAACTATTTCAATTTTGCCAAAGAAATTTGAATTAATTTTTTTTAAAAGAGAAAATTTAGGATGCAAAATACTCTTATAGATAGAAGTCAAATTTAGTACAAGTATAAGGGAAAAGTCATCAAGAAAATCAATTCAGCCACGAAGGTGTGAGCTAACACAAACATACATCATACATTAGTGAGTTGACTTATAATCAGGCTTAAATATCACGCGGCATGCAAGCAGAATCAACACAACCAGCAGATACTCAAAGCTAAGGATGCATCCTGGTTACAGTAAAGGTACATCTAACAATGAAATTTCACACAGATTTTTTTTTATTCAATGAAACATGGAGCAATGAAACAAAAGATTGCATTCTGGAAATCTTTCAGCAAAGTGCTACTAGATTTAAAAAAATATTCTCTTGGGTGACATTAGGGACATTCAAGTGATGGTAATTAGCAAAAGGGTGGGTTAGAAAGGAGTGACTAGCCGTAGGGGGGGGGGGGGGGCTTACTTGAGGTATAACTAGCCATGGGGGGGGTCTTAAATAACGTCTAGCCACAAGGGGGGGGGGGCTTACATCAGGTGTGTCTAGACACAAGGATTTAGTAAAGAGTGACTAGCCACAGGAGTGAAAGGTAACAATCCACATGCGATTCAATGGGTTGACTAGCGACAGGGTAAAACTTAGCCTGGGTAGGACACACAGGTGACAATTGCTTGAGTAGTTAAGTAAGGCTTGAAGAGGTGAACTACACCGTGGACATGGGGGCCAACCATACAGGGGAGAAACAAAAACTAGGGACAACATAGGGGATGGATGCTGAGTGAATGACGCACAAAAGAGATGAATGCTGAGTGAATGACGCACATATGAGATGATACTGAGTGAATGACACACATATGAAATGATACTGAGTGAATGACACACATGCGATGATACTGAGTGAATGACACACATATAAGATGATAGTGAGTGAATGACACACATGCGATGATACTGAGTGAATGACACACATATAAGATGATACTGAGTGAATGACACACATGCGATGATACTGAGTGAATGACACACATATAAGATGATACTGAGTGAATGACACACATATGAGATGATACTGAGTGAATGACACACATGAAATGATACTGAGTGAATGACACACATATAAGATGATACTGAGTGAATGACACACATATGAGATGATACTGAGTGAATGACACACATGAGATGATACTGAGTGAATGACACACATATGAGAGATGCTGAGTGAATGACACATGATAGGAGAATGGTGAGTGAATGACATCGATATAAGGTGATTGCTGAGTTAATGGAACGCAGAAGGGGAATATACAGCAGACAAAACATACAGGCAAAGAATGCTTTGTAATAAAATAAAGAGAATTAAAAGCATGTAAATTATAAAACATTTACAACATTCCATTATCAAAAGTTAATCCATTTCATGAAATGATACAAAAAAAATCATCAAGACCAATAGGCTAAGCTACATCATCATCGTGAATATACATATGAAACTATAGCTTAATTTCAAATATTAATTACTACAACAAAGCCTATGGCTTCTTAAGACACCTTATTGTTTATACATCCATTTTTTTTTTAAAAGTGTTGCAGGAAAAAATTAGACGAAACAAAATCTATTTAAGTTAATCTAACCAGTCCTCAATGGTCTACTCTCACAGCAGTAGGCTCAAGTAAAACAATAAAAACAAGAATTATAAATACCTACATATCTTACAGTACAAAGTTTTCTTTATCAAGCTAAACAGTGGAAACCATCATTTTTATCTTACACATATTTTACAATATGGTTCTTCTAGACCTGTTCCTTTACTATACAAGTATTCCATTAACTGCATGAAAATCATTAAACATTTGTCTACGACTGCATCTGTTGATGCCCTCAATATCCCAGGTCTGAAAGAGTACCTCTCACATGATACAAGCAGCTTAAAGTGTACCTCCAAATAATAGCATAAAAATTTAAAAAAAAAACAGTTGAATGAAAAATTAAGACTTCAAAATTAGGGGATTCAATTTTTATAATTGGTAAACAATAATAAATTATTAGGCTTACATAATTTATATACACGTAAACATTACAGAATTAAAACTGTCAAAAAAATCATTTCTGAATGCAATTTTTTCAGCTAGCTTTGTTTTGAAGAAAATTTTAAAGCTGAGCATTTGATAAAGCAATGCCAATGAACATTAACACACTGATTAACTATAATCCATAGCGTTAAAAGTAAAATTAGTAAGGGATACAGAAAAATTATTGAAAATTTTAAATGACATAGAGAAAAATAGGCTTTACTTTAACTTCTAAATGTATGCAGCTTAATCAATTAGCTTTCTATTTTTAAAAGACAATTAGGGTTTTCTAATAAAGATGAAGGGAAAAAAAGTTTTAAACTGTTCAAATCATCATAAGCAATAAAAAGAATTATATGCTGCTCATAATAAAGAGAACAGAGGCAGCCTGGCTAAATACAGTTACAACTATGCTTAAGTAAAGCCAACGGACAAAGCGTTAAGCTTGGATAATATTGGATGGACTTGTGAATCTACATCTACGGCCAAAATAACAGGATTAAACAATGTCTGGTGGGGCACTCATTTCTCCATCAGAGAAAGTTCTAGAATTTTTTGCAGCTCCTCTTCCTCCTGCTTCCTGCGACGCTCATCTTCTTCCTGTTCCTGCCTCGACAGCTCTAGGACCATTCTTATGTCATCGTCTTCCATCGGGAGAGGCATAGGAGGTCTGGGATTCAGAGCAGGAGTGTTGGCAAGTTTGGCAGGCATACCTGGCTGCAGGCTGGCGGCAATGGCCCTGTGAGCAAAATTAATATTTTGTATTTTGTTAACATTTGATTCGGATCTTTTCTGAGCAAGTTTGATTTGTTAATTTCTGAGACAAATTTTTTAAATATCTTATTTCCCACAAGAAAACTGAGTAAAGCATGGCAAAATGATAATTTTATTTAATTTATTAGTTTAAAAAATGTTCCTTCTCCTTTTAAAATGTTAATATGTACCAACCTTTGTAGCATTTTGTCTTCATCTTCCAGGCCTGATGGTTCCTTCCCCTTGCTCAAGGCTTCATAAAAGGTTACCTGCAAATTTGTATCAAACAAGAAATTCAGACTAGATATACCTGTAATGAACTCAAAAAAAATCATACAATTTGTGTGTGTTAAGTGGATTAGTATATTACATATAGTAATTCAATTTATGTTGAACTGATAACCACATTAAGTGACAATGATACTCAATGAAATCTCAATAAAATCTATAATTCTAAACATCTTTTCTTCTTCTTCGTTCTTAATTTTAATGTTGGAAGGGTTTCCCTCCAACATAATTAAGTATACGAGTCAACTTGTTATGCGCCATAAGGCCATAAGCTCGCTTTCTTTTTGGATTTGCTTCCATAGCCTTTATCCAACCAAGAACAAACTACAAGTCAGCAGTTGTTTGATTTAGGAGTTTTCTCTCCTAGATGAGTGGCTGTCCCCAGCTATAGAGCATTATCTGACCGGGAGTTCAAACTTGGGACTTTTGGGTTCGGAGTGGTCTAGCGGTAGAGAGCTGGGCTGCTAACCCGTAAGTCTCGAGTTCGAATCCGGGTTCAAGCCAGTAGACCGTCCCTGAGTCCACCCAACTCTGATGGGTACCTAACTCACGTTAGGGAGAGTAAAGGCGGCTGGGCATAGTGCTGACCACAATATCTCTTCATATGCCGAGGTCACAGAAACAAGTGAACTCTACTTCACTTGCCCCATAGACCGTCAGGTTTGAAAGGGAAACTTTTACTTAACCATGAGCTTAACCGACTGGACCACGCCAACCTCCTTCTATACATCAAACAGCCAAAGATACATATGTAACCTATACAACACAAATGTTGACTGACCTGGTCGTTCTCTGTGCCAGACTCTATCAGACTCTGCTGGATGGCAAACTGGAGCAGCTGGTCATCTTCATCCCTCAACCTCTCATGGTGGCTGTCACCACCTGCAGACAACAGACAACATTTGTAACAATTATCTTATATTCTATCCATATCTTTAAATTCAGTAAATGACTGAAGTAAACAAACGTTTGTAACAATTATCTTATATTCTATCTTTAAATTCACTAAATGAACGAAGTAAACAAACTTTAGACAACACCCAACATTTGAAATAACCATCTTAACAACCATCTTACACTCTATCACTATCTTTAAATTCACTTAATGACCGAAATAAACATTTGTAACAATCATCTTACATTTTATCATTTAATTCACTAAATGACCAAAGTAAACAAACTTTAGACAACAGCCAACATTTGTAACAGCCATCTTACATTCTATCTTTAAATTACCTAAATGACTTGTTACATCCACACATCTTAAACTTTAGAATTACAAATGGCAAAAAAATGTCTTGATAATTTTGAAGAGAGCCGGAAAATATTATTTTCAAAAAACTATTAATTGAAAAGCGAAAGTCTGATACCAGATAGTTTGGATTTTAATTCCTGACTGCAATCTATATGGATGGACCTTTAAGTCCACACAGCTATGGTAGATATCTAATATGTCAGTTAATGTTACGGTTACTAGGTATTGCTTTTATCACAAGACTTCCCATCTTGACCAAAAAGTTTTAACAATAATTTACTGACTTATGAATTCGAACATGTTCATATTCACACAACAGCCTAATCAAACACACTAAAACATAAGTGATTTAAATGATTTTCATTCTGAAAACAGTCTACTTTAAATTAAACCTCTAAATAGCTGAATAGCTATACAGAATGTATGAAACACTAGCTATGAGTAGCTGTACTTGCTGTAACAATCAAACAAATGTTAATTAAAATCACACCTATTCTGCCATAAGTGACAGGTGGGTTGAAGCAGTCGTCTTCAATGACACACGTAACGATGTCAGGCGTCTTGACAGATGTCACATACTGAGCCTCGTTTTCAATGGCCTGGATGTTGCCAAAGGTGATTCTAGCATTCAGAACATGGAACAATGGAATTTCTGTGGAAAATATTTAGGACATGGAACAATGGAATTTCTGTGGAAAATATTTAGGACATGGAACAATGGAATTTCTGTGGAAAATATTTAGAACATGGAACAATGGAATTGCTGTGGAAAATATTTAGGACATGGAACAATGGAATTTCTGTGGAAAATATTTAGGACATAGAACAATGGAATTTCTGTGGAAAATATTTAGGACATGGAACAATGGAATTTCTGTGGAAAATATTTAGGATATAGAACAATGGAATTTCTGTGGAAAATATTTAGGATATAGAACAATGGAATTTCTGTGGAAAATATTTAGAACATGGAACAATGGAATTGCTGTGGAAAATATTTAGGACATGGAACAATGGAATTTCTGTGGAAAATATTTAGGACATAGAACAATGGAATTTCTGTGGAAAATATTTAGGACATGGAACAATGGAATTGCTGTGGAAAATATTTAGGACATGGAACAATGGAATTTCTGTGGAAAATATTTAGGACATGGAACAATGGAATTTCTGTGGAAAATATTTAGGACATGGAACAATGGAATTTCTGTGGAAAATATTTAGGACATGGAACAATGGAATTTCTGAGGAAAATATTTAGGAGATGGAACAATGGAATTTCTGTGGAAAATATTTAGGACATGGAACAATGGAATTTCTGTGGAAAATATTTAGGACATGGAACAATGGAATTTCTGTGGAAAATATTTAGGACATGGAACAATGGAATTTCTGTGGAAAATATTTAGGACATAGAACAATGGAATTTCTGTGGAAAATATTTCGGACGTAGAAGTTCTCAGAGATTTGAATAGAAACATTCAACACAGAACAATGGAATTTCAGTGAAAAATATTAAAAACAATTGGATTTTTTGTAAGCATTCAAAAGCTGAAACCTCATATTGTAAACATCTATCTGTTGAAATGAATATCAGATTAAGCTAGAGATTAATGAAAGTATTTTTTTTTTAAATAATATCAAAGAAATTAACTACCACCACAAACCTATCTTGATAGGAAAGCCAGCGGGTAACTGGAGTGTGATGAAGTCTCGTAACTTGGCAAAATGTGCATTGCTCTGTGCCATGAGGTCAATGATAGGAATCACCTGCTCGGGCAGAGACAGGGGGTAGCCCTCACACAGCCACAGGCTGGCCTTGAACTTTTGAACTTTGGTTGACTGCTCCTTGGGTCGGCCTATGTCCTTGTCCCCCAGGTCAACTAGCCTGCTGAAGTACTCCTCAGGGGTGATGTTCCCAGGATTGTATGATGTCACAGTGGAAATCTTCAGATCAGAAAAATAAATGTAACAACATACCTAAAAAAAATCTAGATAGCAGGTGAAAACAAGGAGTACTGAGGAGAAAGCCCCTGAAAACCAAAAGTCACATAACTCTAAAAATGGGAAACCTACTGCATCTAAACTACTGCTACTAACAAGGGAAATAAATCTAAATACCAGATGAAAACAAGTAGTACCAAGGAGAAACCCCCTGAAAACCAAAAGTCACATAACTCTAAAAATGGGAAACCTACTGCATCTAAACTACTGCTACTTGATGTGGAACTCATCGTCTCTTCTGCGGTGCCGAGGAATGATTCGAGTGGAGTCTTGCTGCTGCATTTCTTAGCCTTCAGCTTGTCCTTCCCTGCCAGGTGTTCTGTTCTAGTCTTTGTTACCAGTTCTACATTGTTTGCAGTAAATACCTGGGGAATAAAGAAAAAAACCCCAACTGAAGCTAAATCAATTAAAAATAATACAGAATTCCTGTTGTTAGGAGTCTGATATCAGAAAATACATAAACAATGTTAAATACACTGATCAGGGATGGAATAAGTTCACTTACTTTACATTCGTAGCTGTTAACTAGTTCTGATTTATCACTCCTCCATCCCCAAATGCCAGATTTGCTCCTGAAATATCAGAAAAATAATTAACTTAACTAAGATATCAAGGCCCGTAAATGGGGATGGATCGGACACACGTTAAGAAAAGAAAAAGAAAACATCACAAAACATGCATTGGACTGGAATCCCCAGGGGAAAAGGAGGGTGGGCCAGCCAAGGAAAACATGGAAGAGAACGGTTGAGGAAGAGGCGAAAACAGCTGGGCTCTCATGGGCACAGATTAGAGTAGCAGCCCAAAACCGAGTCCGCTGGAGATGTGCGGTTGCAGCCCTTTGCTCCCAGGGGCCACAAAGGAGTGATGATGAATTAACTTAACTACAGAACAGCTAGGCTACCATAACTCAATGTGGCAATTGGATTACCAGGGTCCTTGTAGGATGACAGACTCGGATCACAGACTAACTAAAACTTAAAAAGTACTTCATTTAACTAAAAAGATCAGCACATTACAAAATTTACCAGAAAAATTACCAGCATATAACCAGAAAAAAAACATATAACCAGAAGATCAACATATTATGAAAAAGATAATATATCCAGTGACCAGAATAAAATGAAGATGTCACAAGTAGTTTGTCTACCTTTCAAATGAAATCCTGTTTGTGTCCACATAGGTTGTGTTGGCAGGGGAGGTCAATCTGGCTGCCACTGCTTCTTCAGATGGCCGCATCACTGAGGGGTCAGCTGACAGTGGCAAGACTTTGATAGTTTCCTGGTAAACTTCATTCAAATCATGATCCACCTCCATTATAGCTGCTGTGTTTTCACCTGAGAAACACAAAAAATATAATAGTTCTAATGTGTTCATTAGTAGCAGTTAAAAATCTGATACATTAAAATAGATAATAAACCAGGCTGTAAACAGAACAATAACATTATGAAAATAACATTCAACGAACAAAATTTGAAAGCTAAGAATTTATTGTTGCAAATTATTGCATCTTTAATTATTTACAACTACAGTATAAAAATTTTAAACTACAGTAAAAAAGAATGAATAAAATTACTATAGAAATGTAAAGTATTCATGTAAAAAAAAAATGTTTAAGAATACAGTATGTATTTCCTATTTGTTAATTACAAACAAAAACTAACTGACCTGTAACTTTAAAAATATAACTGCGACTTCCCCTCTGCCATGTCATATTGTCAAAACCCAGAAGAGTTGTGTCAATGCGAACACTGGAGCCCTTTTTCCACACTTTATATGTATCACTGGGGCACATACGAGATATGAGTGGAACTGAAATAATATTTATTCACGATAACGTTAAGCCTAGGAAAATTACATTCAATGTGTACAAGAGATTAAATAATGTAACCAAAAAAATGATATATTTTAATTTCTTTTTTGTTTACAAAAGCAATTTACCCCAACTGGTAAACTCCCATTTCATTTCCACATAAAAATCTGGAGTCTGAAACAACAATTTTATTTGTTTAAAATCCTTATGAGACGTAACTAAAGTATTGATAAAATCATCATAAAAATGTATTCATAAGTGAAACAAAATTACTTCTTGCAATTTTTTCAGAAGGTCAGGGACACCAACAGTCCTTTTAGAGTATCGCTGGAAATCTCTGTGCTGCAATACAAGCTGTACTATCTCAGGATCTCCTGTGCACACAGCTTCATGGAGAACTGCATTGAAAAGTTTGCAACGTGAATATTAAAGAAACCTTAGAGGCCTGATACATTTGAAGAAAATGTGGGTTTTTCTGTAATGAAATTAGACAAACCAAAAGAGAAGTATGTGAAGGATCTACTCTAGGCTATAAGAAAATTTATACAGATCATATCCCTGATCCTAAAGCAATACCAGCAGGAAAAAAATAATTGAGTTTTTAAAATCTAAGAACACTTAATTCCTTATTAATTATAAAATATGTGTCTATTCCGCCTATAGTGCTGTACAAATAATCATAATTTTTGCTGTTTTTGGTACCTAATCTTAACAAAATATAGCTGGTACAAAATGTCAGTCAAATCCTGTATTGCCAGATAAGAAATACAGGACCTAAATAATAACATTATTATTTGTGCCAAAGCTAAAACTTTTGAAACAAAAGTAAAAACTTTTAAAATCAAGATTTATATGCAAATAGGGCCTACCTGACCAGCATTCTTTGTTTTCCGCATTGGCATTTGCCCCATGCCGTAGTAGTACTCTAGCACTCTCAAGATTACCTAAAGCAACCGCAAGATGAAGAGGGGTACGGCCCCTAGGATCCACAAGTTCTATATCATGCTAAAAAAAATTTAAAATTAGAACTTAGTGCAAAAAAAATGGGCAAGACAGGCAATAAATCAATAGTACAAAATAAAATTGAATGTTTTTAGGCCGATGTTAATACTTATGCTTCTAGGTAGACCTGACTAATTCTTGTAAGGGCATACTATAACTAATTAATTAATAAGGGCTAAACTATAAGCCAGGCTTCAGTTAAAGTAATCAAATGAAACAGGCCTACACAGTACAAATATAGGCTACTATATGTTATATAGCCAACTCCTAACTAGATTCTACTAACATAAATGCATATGTCACTTTATGAAGTCTACTAATAATCTAATGGTTGCAGTTATCTGGCTGCTGAGCAGAAATGCATTCTGACCCAAAGAGAAAAAGCTCTACTTTCTGTTTCAATATCATTGTTGAGGCTTCAACTGCAATGAATCAAAACACTGCTTGCAACTTAGGCCTGAGGTTGAGGAGTGAAATTTGAACATTTTCAATATTTTCAGCTGGGATGAAATGAGTTACAGCAGTTTTTTTTTAACTGAACGAATATTCATTATAGTATAGTTATAGGCCTAATAATTACTTAGGCTAGAAGCCTGAGTAATTTTATTAGTCCCTAACTTTTAAACTATTAGTTAGTATTGGTAACTAAGCCTTAAAAGCCCCTAACTGGCCCAATCTAACTTTTCTAAGAGACTAAGTCCTAACCTAAACTAAAAACCAACAGTGACTTAACGACACTGAACTGAAATCAGATTCTAGTCGGAATAAGATACGCATGCGATACGCATGCGCAATGATGAGAAACTACGACTTAACTTCGCGGCGATGTTTTCTATGGTACTGCGCATGCGTGTGTTTACAACCGCAGAACTCTTAACACCAACCCTAATCCTTTCCCTAACCCTAGCCCTAATCCTAACCCTAATCCTATCCCTAACCCTAATCCTACCCCTAACCCTCATTCTAGCCCTAACCCTAGCCATAGGTCACTGCGCATGCGCAGAGCTATCTTTTGCCGACTAAGTGGAGACGTTGGGGATAAAAATCTTCTTCCGAGTAGACACTTCGTAATTACTTAGGCTAGAAGCCTGAGTAATTTTATTAGTCCCTAACTTTTAAACTATTAGTTAGTATTGGTAACTAAGCCTTAAAAGCCCCTAACTGGCCCAATCTAACTTTTCTAAGAGACTAAGTCCTAACCTAAACTAAAAACCAACAGTGACTTAACGACACTGAACTGAAAACTGAAATCAGTTTGAGTTTTCAATTTTAAATGTATTGACTATTGCTAAGTTCAAACTAAGTTGTACTTGTAGGCCTTTCAATTACTTTGCAATGGAATATGATAGATTAAATTGGGAAATAATGTGATTGAAATTTAGTGAAAGAAAGTGAAAAAAAAAATGTTTATTTTTAGTTAAACCCAGATTTTTAATTCAAGGCGTACCACTTTTTTTTCTAACTCGGCATCTAATTCTCGAAAACTGTTGTGCCACACCATCCAATGAATAGGAAATTCATCTTTCAAGGTCTTCGCCATCCTATCAATCTTCAAAATAATTTAAATAAACAGTAATAAGCCAAATATGGCCTCTATTTCCGTATGATTGACTTCATGTTTTACTATTACATTTATCTTCCTAGCATCTTTCTAGTAGTCTAAATAGTTCTAAGATATTGATTATACTTTACTTCGGAATCAGACTTATTAATGGTAGGTCAAGTCGTAAATAGTCAAACAATACTTTGATGTCGTAAAAGTATGAAAATAGAAATACAAAAAAAGATAGTAAAATGAAGTAGTTATTTGATAACTGAAAAAAACTTTAAGAAATTATTGCTTAACAAACCTTACTTAACAAAATGTTATAATTTGAAAATTAGTAGTGGCGTACTGATTTTCGGCTTGCCTAAACCCCAATATAGCAAAGTGGATCCCTATCTTTTGTGTAAAATATGGAATGATAATGATAACAGTGTTTCTTCCAGACTTTTTTCTCCGGGGGGGGGGGGGGGAAGGACACTGTTAAAACTAGTTAAAAGTATATATTTTTCTATATAAATTCCATGTCGTACGGGGGGGGGGGTCGGTAGACTTTCTTCGGGGGCAAAGCCCCCCCCCCCCCCCCCCGAAGAGATGCCTGGAAGAAACTCTGCCGAAGAGATGTGATGAAGAAACTCTGATAATTGCCTGGTGTACATACAGTGCACATATAGAGTCTATCTATAGACTACAGCAAACTTCCAACGATGCGTGTTCTTTTATATATTTTGAAATGAAAAATATTGATTCGAAAGCTCGAAAAAGGATGTCAAAACTGTCCAAAAAAATTTATTCTTCGGGATGTATTAAAGGGAAGCGACTTCTTTCAATTTTTCAGAAACCAGTTTTTCTATCAGCAAATCTCTCTGGAAGGGAGGGGGGATATTTTCCCCTCCCCCGACGATAGAAGAAAAATATAATTTAAATAGAAAATAAAGGCTAGTTAAACCAGCGCCCCCCCCCCCTCTTTCGAAGTTTCAAGAAACACCGCCGCCACCACAGAGAACAATGGAAGAAATCATGTTAACGAGAACTAGACTGACGAATTAGATCTAGGTCTGCAAACACGGGACCAAAATCATGTGACACTGATGTGTGACGCCATTTTGGGGAACATCAATGGTCTTCATACTACATTTCATTACTCAGGCACGGACTCGAAACCAGTGTTTCTTCCAGACTTTTTTCTCCGGGGGGGGGGGGGGGGCACTTGAAATTTTCGGGGGGGCGGTAGACTTTCTTCGGGGGGGCGGACACTGTTCAAAGTATATATTTTCTATATAAAATATATAAATTTCATTTCGTTCGGGGGGCGGTAAAGAGGTGCCTGGAAGAAACTCTGCTCGAAACCATCGAGAGTTTTAAAACTTTTATTGGTCGCCCTTTACGTCCCCTCGCCCCTCTACGAATATTAAGGAACCTAGGCAGAAAAATACATGCATTTTTCACATTTAAATCTTTAATTCATATGCCATTAGTATTGACTATATAGAATACGACTACTAACTCGAAAGTCTCGAGTTCGGATCCCTGATTCCATCCACCTCTGATGGGAAACAGCAGCTTGGCATAGTGCTGATCATTCTATCCCTTCATATGCCGAAGTCACAGAAACAGGTAAACTGTACTTCATTTGCCACCTGGACCGCCAGGTTCGTAATTTTAATTATGTCTCGGCGAGCGTCCATAAATGTAACGACGTTTAATCTAGAAGTTAGCGAGATTAGAAACTTTCTTTTTGTGTGGTGGGGAACAGCAGGGAACTAATAATAGGCCTACAACGGTTCCCAGAAAGAACCGCAACGGAAAAAAGCGCAACGGAAAAAAGCGCAAATCAAAAAGCGCAACGGAAATAAGCGCACACGGAAAAAAGCGCAAAGAGAAAAAAGCGCACACAGAAAAAAGCGCAAACAGAAAAAAGCGCAAACGGAAAAAAGCGCAAAGAGAAAAAAGCGCACACGGAAAAAAGCGCAAAGAGAAAAAAGCGCAAACAGAAAAAAGCGCAAAGAGAAAAAAGCGCACACAGAAAAAAGCGCAAACAGAAAAAAGCGCAAACGGAAAAAAGCGCAAAGAGAAAAAAGCGCACACGGAAAAAAGCGCAAACAGAAAAAAGCGCACACGGAAAAAAGCGCAAACGGAAAAAAGCGCAAACGGAAAAAAGCGCAAACAGAAAAAAGCGCAAACGGAAAAAAGCGCAAACAGAAAAAAGCGCACACAGAAAAAAGCGCAAACGGAAAAAAGCGCAAACAGAAACAGAAAAATGCGCAACCAGAAAAAACACAACGAAAAATGTGCAAAAGAGAAATTTAGCACATAGACCATATGGACTAGATGACACATTTATACATGACTGTTAGGGCTGCTGTGAAGGTGTCGTGTTTGATCACGTGATCTACTACCATTTAAAGCGTACCACTACCATCTGCATTCCCATCACCACGATACAGGCGATAATCACTTTACACAATGCATATTATTTTCTTGGTCAATTCAACTACTATTCTCGTATAAACATAAAACTATCGACATTACACGAAGTATCTTTCACATTCTCCCTAGTCCGAACTACCTAGCTTGCATACTATAACAACCCGTTCCTAAGGCAAAACTTCACTCTCTTTCATCCGCGTCATCAAACATGCATTCGTCATATCTCTCGTAACATCATTCATTCGCACCAAAATAACAATTTTGTATTTAATTTTTTTCACATTATGACGCACCTACCTACCTACCTACTACCCACCTACCCACCTACCTACCTACCTAACTACCCACCTACCCACTTACCCACCTACCCACCTACCCGCCTACATACTTACCAAACTACCCACCAAAAAAGTATCGGCGAAGTTCGTAAGTTTCGTAAACTGTACTAGACATCTTTTTTTTAATGAAAATTCATTGACATCATTGACATATGTTACATATATGTTACATTTTGCGACAACCTTAATTAGTGCGTTGGGCTTGTATGAAAACTCACTTCGAACTAACTCAATTACATGCTATTTATTTTAACATTACACGGTAAGCGTCACCCAACTGTTGTGATGTGAGGCGAGGACAGGTTCGACAATAAACCAACACGAAAGTACGAAAGAGACAAAGATTGCCTATTAGAGAATGGGCCCCTTAACTTTCCTAACCCCACCATTTATTATACACTACCTAACCTCTAAATTTACTGCGCTAAATGTCACTTCCCTCCCAATCGTTCCTATTCTACAGAATTGTGTATACTATTTATTTACATTCTTTAATCTCAATATAACTAAAATAGACTTTTGTTTGAAGGGTAATGAAAACATGTAAACAAAAGGGACGCTACTCTAAATCTATGCGAATACTTATATGCAGTGTGGGTGGGTGGATGGATGTGTGGGTGGGTGGATGGATGTGTAGGTGAGTGGTACGCTTTAAATGGTAGTAGATCACGTGATCAAACACGACACTCTCACGGCAGCCCTAACAGTCATGTATAAATGTGTCATCTAGTCCATATGGTCTTTGTGCTAAATTTCTCTTTTGCACATTTTTCGTTGTGTTTTTTCTGGTTGCGCATTTTTCTGTTTCTGTTTGCGCTTTTTTCCGTTTGCGCTTTTTTCTGTGTGCGCTTTTTTCTGTTTGCGCTTTTTTCCGTTTGCGCTTTTTTCTGTTTGCGCTTTTTTCTGTGTGCGCTTTTTTCTGTTTGCGCTTTTTTCCGTTTGCGCTTTTTTCTGTTTGCGCTTTTTTCCGTTTGCGCTTTTTTCCGTTTGCGCTTTTTTCCGTGTGCGCTTTTTTCTGTTTGCGCTTTTTTCCGTGTGCGCTTTTTTCTCTTTGCGCTTTTTTCCGTGTGCGCTTTTTTCTCTTTGCGCTTTTTTCCGTTTGCGCTTTTTTCTGTTTGCGCTTTTTTCTGTGTGCGCTTTTTTCTCTTTGCGCTTTTTTCCGTTTGCGCTTTTTTCTCTTTGCGCTTTTTTCTGTGTGCGCTTTTTTCTCTTTGCGCTTTTTTCCGTGTGCGCTTATTTCCGTTGCGCTTTTTGTTTTGCGCTTTTTTCCGTTGCGCTTTTTTCCGTTGCGGTTCTTTCCGGCCACCGCCTACAACAACTTCAGTTATTTCAAATTTAGTAATACATTTGTGGGGATATAAAAATTTGTCTGTATCATTCGTCGAAGATTATATCTCCTTTTTTTTCATTAAATAAAAACAAAAAGTTGTTTTTAAAAAATGTATCTCCCCGGCGGGGAATCGAACCCCGGTCTCCCGCGTGACAGGCGGGGATACTTACCACTATACTACCGAGGATACATACGTTACCAGAAATGCAATGCAGTTTTTCTTATCAGAATAAAGTTAAGAAATGCTGATAAACGATTTTCTTTTTTTTTTTTTTTTTTTTTTGTCTTTTTATGCATTTTAGTGACAGTTTTAAGAAATAGACCTATGATTTAGGTCTATATTTGTTATGTTGTTTTACTCTGGTAACTGGTAGTATATATGATGCTATAGCGCACAGAAACACACACACAGCATGGCCCTTGAAACATTTTTATATTTTAAGGTTTCATTAAAACTAACTCTCTCAAACTATAGGAAGTCTTTTAGTCTATCTTCTTCTAGATCTAGAATCTAGTACTTTTTTTTCGCTACCAATCACGTTTCTTTATTCAGCGCGGAGCCCGCATTTCCACTCCCACACAATGGGACTATGTAATAAAATTATTAAAAAAACTAAAAAAAAAAACTTGATTGCAACAACCTTCTAATTAATGCACTGAAAATATAAAAAAACTGATTTGTTTTCTTTCATAAAAACTTTTGTCGCTAAAAATTGTAAAAAATCTCATGATCGAAAATAAAAACATGCTTCCAAATGACATCCGTTACTTTAAAGTTACCATCAATGATAAGGGGTCATCCATAAATGCAGTGTTTCTTCCAGACTTTTTTCTCCGGGGGGGGGGGGGGGCACTTGAAATCTTCGCGGGGGGGGGCGGTAAACTTTCTTCGGGGGGGGGGGGCGGACACTGTTAAAAGTATATATTTTCTATATAAATTATATACATTTCATTTCGTTCGGGGGGGGGGGGGGTAAAAAAATTTCGGGGGGCAAAGCCCCCCCGAAATAGATGCCTGGAAGAAACTCTGCATAAATGACATCCCACTCGGGGGTCCG